TCGAGCACCGCCGGGTCCTCGGGGGGCTCAGGGAGGTCCAGGCAGAGCTCGCTGCGCCCCCGGGCTCCCGCCGGGTGGCCTAGGAATTTCTGGCTCTTGAGCTGCACTGTGAGCTGCCGCTTCTCCTCCTGCAGCACCGACAGCTTCACCTGGAGCACGGGAATCAGTTTCACCTGCTCCTCCAGCTGCCGCAGCTTCCGCAGGGCCCCCGCCATCTGCTCCCGCACGTGGGCCAGGTGCCCAGCACTGGGCGGCACCGGCGTGGACAGTCCCGATCCCCGCGGCGTCGGGGGTGGCAGCCCCACGCCCACCAGTGAGCTTGTCGAGCCAGCCACGCTGGGGGTCAGGGAGCCCAGGCCGGTGGGGGCGGCCGCCTGGTCCTCGAGGCGGCGACGGGCGTCCAGCAGCGTACGCTCCACGCGCGGGTTGAAGCCAGCGCGGGTCTCCAGGACGCCATACTGCGGGTAGAAGCCTCGGCCGCAGTAGGAGTAGGCCGAGTGCCGGCTGTCCCCACTGGCGTTGGAGCACAGAGACTCGGTGGACGTCCACCAGGAGCCAGGGCCGCGGGGCAGGGAGCCGAGGCGGGGCCGGCGCTGCACGGCCACCCGCCGCAGAGTGTGGCCCTTCTCGATGTCATCCACGTACTTGAGAAAGTCCAGGTCCAGGCGGTAGCCGTAGGGCGTCTCCACGGAGTAGGGCAGGTCGGGCTCCTTGGAGGGGAAGGTGGGCGGGGAGGCTGGGCCGGGGGTCCCTGGGGTGGGAGGAAAGGCCAGTGCCTCTGAACACTGCGGTCCCCTCCTCGAGGCAAACTGATTCCCCTGGGAGGGTCAAGGCTTATTTGCCCAAAGGATGGGAGGCCACCGGGTGCTCAACTGCTCAGCTGTGTCTGCGGTCTCTGAGCCTTCCCCGGCCAGGGCAAGGCCCTGTCACCCCCTCAGACCCTCCCAGGGCAGGGCTGTGCCTCCAACCTCCCAACCAAGACAGGACCCTGTCTCCCCACTCAGACCAACCTCCTTCCCTGGAAGACCCAGTCTCTCCCATCACACTCTCCAGGGGAGAACCAAGTTGTCCCTCTTCAGGCCCTCAGGGCAGGGCTGTGTCCTACCCTCAGCCTCCTCAAGTAGGGCCCTCTCCCCTCCCCGAGGCCGTGTCTCCCCTCCCCCACCTCCAACCCCAGGGCAGGGCCCTCTTCCCCGTGAGACCCCTGACCTGGGAAGGGGGCTGGCACGTGCAGGACTTGGGCCATCCTCCTGCCTGCAGACGCTCCTCAAGAGTCACTTGGGCGACTGTGAATCAGACCACCTGCAGCACGGGCTGAGGCTTACCTGGGGAGAGGGTGTGATGAAGCCCCCCCCCCCACAGTTGGGAATCTGCTGGGGGAGGGGAGGGGATGTGGCCACCTCTCCCCTCTGCCCCCTCCACCTCCCCGCAAGTTCCCCCTTCCCCTGGGCGTGGGACCCTCTCATAGGTGCACACCCAGCCTGGCTGTGGAAAGGGGTGGGGAGCCCCCAGAGCCTGGAACAAAGAAACCAAAACTCACAGTCTGCCCGCACATCTGTCCGGCCCCTGGACAGGCTCCAGCTGTTCCCACAGCCCCGCCTCCACAAGTCTCCCGGGCGAGGAGGAGCCCTAAGCCTGACAGGCCCCACCTTTCCTGAGCCCCCTCCCCTTAGCCCAGGCAAGAGCTGGCTGCTGGGACAGATGGGGGCTTAGGTGGACCGAGGGCTGGGGCACTCGTGGGGAGACAGCCTTCCTGCAAGGATCCGAGGAGACAAGAGACACAGGGCACAAAGAGGAATAGAGCTCAGGGTAGGGGACCCCAAAACAGAGCTGGGTCAGGCCAGGCGGTGCGGGTGGGGGGCGGTAGGGAAAGTTGGGGGGAGGCAGCGAGGAGCAAAGCCTTTTCCCTTTATGGAAACAATTTTCTCTAAAAATAAACAGTTTCGCTGCCGGGCTACACGAGAACTTCCTGCCCCCACCCCCCCACCACCCCAACCAAGGACGCGTCCGGCTCAGGGCTGGGGGGGGAGGCGCGGGGGGCAGCGCGGCGGGGATAGAAGGCCGGGTGGAGGCCCGAGAAGTCGTGGGGGTGGGGGGAGGAAGTAAGAGGGGGTGCCTGGAGGCTTCAAAGAGGAGGGACAAGGAGGGCCTCTCACTAACCTGCCCCCCCCCAGCCCTGGAGGCTGGCCAGGGCACTTTTGTCCCCAACACTCCACCTGAGTTTGGCCAGTCCTTTCTGCTGTCTGACCCCTAGCCACCCTGCTGCAGAGGTCCCGGTCCATCCCACCACCAGAGAGGACCCTTTGCAAGCTGCAGGTGCTGGGGCAGTGGGTACCTGGGAGGATGGGCCAGGTGGGCCACCTGCTGGGCATGAAGGCGGGGCCGGGGCTCCAGGGGCAGCCAAGCTTCTCCTGTCTCACACCCTCCTTGCTTAGCGTCTTGCTTCGTCTCTCCACGTCTCTCTGTGTCTCTCCAAGTCTCTGTCTCTCTGTGTCTCTCTTCACTTGTCTCTCCCTGTCTCTCCACGTCTCTGTCCTCACTTCTCTGTCTTTCAATGCCTGGAACACACAGTCACCCAATTGTAGGAAATTTGGTTTTCCAGCTGCCTGGAGGGCCATTCCATGCACAACAGGGAGGTGATCAAAAATATTTTCTGCAGGGACTTCCCTGGCGGTCCAGTGGCTAGGACTCTGCACTTCCAATGCAGGGAGCATGGGTTCGATCTCTGGGGAACTAAGATCCCGCATGATGCGTTGTACAGCTGATAAAATAAAAGTGAATTTAAAAAAAGTTTCTGGGGACCTGAGAGAGACTGGAGGCAGGGACCAGGAACGGTCCCCGGTGTGGAACCCTGGAGGTGGAGGGTGTGAGGCGAATAACAGTAATAACTATAATCATCATCCCAGCAACTCATTTGATCATCATGACAACCCTACCAGGTGGGTAGTTATCACCCTGTTTTACAGATGCGGTGTTTGGGGACACAGAAATACACAGTGACTTGCCCAGGGTCACTGAAGGGGGAATTAGCTGGGTCTGGATTTGAATCCTAAGCCTGGTAGATTCCCCCACTGCCAGCCAAGCCACCCTTAAGCCCCTTGCCACATTCCTCTGCCCATTTCCCAGGCAGAGAGACTGAGGTCTGAGGGTCTCCAGCCACCTGACCGTCTTCCACGTGGGCCGGTGACTGACTCCAGGTGGAGAAAGCAGATGGTGGGGGAAAGCGTAATGGTGGTGGGTGTCTGTGGCTGAGACTCCTCTCCCTCTATAGGACCCCTGGAGAAAGCGGAGAACACGGGATAGGACAGAGAGACATGGAGAGAAAGGGACAGGACACTCCAAGAGGGGACAGGTGGGAGGCTCAGGGAAGGGGAGGGGGATCCCGGGCAGGCCTGAATGTCCGGCGGGGTCTCCCTAAAGCCCCCCTCCCAGACCAGCCTGGACGTCTCTGGGGTCTTCCCGCTCCTCTCCCCGCCTCAAAGACGGGGGCGAGGAGGACCCCGCCCCGTACAGGGTAGGGGCGGGGCCTGCGGGGTCCCCAGCTAATGGCAAACAGCTGCTGCTCCCCACGCCGGCCCAGCCGCCAGGCCGAGGCCCAGCCCGGCCGGACGCCCGGCCGCCTTCCCGCCGCCTGGGCCTGGCTCCGGCCCGGCCGCGGAGGAGGGCGAAGGAGGACCGAGTGGGGGAGTGGGGAGGCGGGACAGAGGTAGAAAGGAGGATGGAGACGTGGGAGAGGTGCAGAGGGGAGGCAGTGATGGGGCAAAGGGGTAGGGAGGAACGGATGGAGGATGGGGTTGGGGGAGAGAAGCAGGGACAGGGTCAAAGATGAGGACGGGGCAGAGGCGCGGGACCAAGACACTCAAAGTCCGGAAAGTTTGGGCATAGATGATGGAGTTGGAGGCAGCAGCTGGTAGAGACCGGCGAGATCACGCCCCAGGGTTAGGGGTGGGGTGGGTGGGGTGGGGACCACGCTCGAACCCCGAACCAGACTCGAACCCCGACCCAGCCCGGGTCCTACTCGCCTCGCGCGCTCCGGCCGCCGCTGTCCCAGCGTCCCGCCGCCCGTGCGTCCTCAGCGCGCCGCCGCCCGAGCGCCCGGCCCTCGGCGGTAGCTCCGCCCCGCCCCGCCCCCGGGCTGGCCCCGCCCCTCTAGTCGCCAGCGGCCCAGCCACTGTTGAGGGGGATGGGGGGGGACACGATCGCACTTGGACGGGCAGGTGTGTGTGCGCGCGTGGGGTATCCGGCCTCGCCCCCTCTTCCTGTCCTCGGGGCAGGGTCCCACCACCGCTATCCTCCCCCCCCCCGACAGCTGCCGCTGGGCCGCTGCGGGGGGCGGGAGAGGGCGGGGCTGGCCGGGATCCAGCTCCTGGAGGGAGGGCGGTGGTGGCGGCGGCGTCTGCGGGAGGTCACCCCACCCCCCGCCGGCTCAGGGCTGGAAGCCGCCCAGCACAGGCCTGGTACACGGTGGCGTGACCACCGCGGGGCGGGAAGGGAGGGCTGGGTCAGCGCGAGGCTGCACAGACCGTAGCTAAGGCCTGGGTTCCATGGCCAGCCAGACCTGGGCTCCAATCCTAACTCCACCAAGCCTTTACTTGCTGCCTCAGTTTCCCCATCTGTAAAATGGGGATAAGAATGCTGCCTGCCTGATAGTGGTGTTAAGATGATTCTATAACCATGAGGCAGGGGCCTAATAGAGGTCCTTCAGGAAGAAAGGCCCATAAACGGGGCCGTGTCTTTGCGGGAGCCAATTATACAGGGCTGGGCACTTAACGAGAGTTTAATAAATGTTACTATTATTCCCCCTGCACACATGTGACATTGTCCTTTGTGTGTTGCCTTCCCCACTAGAATGTCAGCTCTACAAGGGCAGAAATTTGCATCCGGTGTCACTACTGTGTCCCTGGCACCCAACTGGTTCTCAGTGTCTATGCATCAGCAATCAGGGTGTGCAGGTAGAGGGTGCACAAGGGACCCAGCTCCCAGGGACCACACCACACAGGCTGTTTATAAAAACCATTTTAAATTAGAAAAGGTAAGAGGCATCAGTGCACACAGACGAGAATAGAGGGACAGAGGGCCCAGACCCATGTGTGATGTGGTCACCCCATGGCTGAGTGGGCAGCAGGGGAGACTGTCAGGAAGGCACAGACAGCTGAGTCCAGGGTGCTGGTTCCTCTGGGTGTGGCTTCAGGCCCTGTGGGCTCAGAGGTCAGCCTTCCGGAAACTTGCTCTGTTCAAGGAGTTCCTGGGGGAGGAGTGAAGTGGATCAACATGGCCACAGGGCCCCCAACTCCATAATGCTCCCCAGCCTCCTCCCCCTCCCCCTTTTCCTCCACCCTCCTCCTCCAAGGAGGTCCTCTATGGTCTTCCTGGCTCCTTTTACATTGGTTCTGATCTGACCATGGAATCAGAAATTCTCTCTTAGAATCCACCACTGGAGATGTGAATCATGCCCATTTTACAGATGTGGCAACTGAAGCTCAGAAAAATGAAGTCACACACCTGGGAAATGATCAGAAACGGTTGCCCTGAGCTTGAATATGTGTACGTGTCTGAGTAGTCACATGACTGTGCAAAGCCCTGAGCACCCGTGTTGACGTGCACATGTATGACGGCCCCCACGCTCTGCCTGGCTTTGCCTGCCCCCTCTCTCCCTCTCTAGGGTGGGAGGCCCGGGTCAGGCACCTGAAGCCGGCTGTGTTTGGCGCCAGCAGCTGAGGCAGGCGCTGGGTGAGCAGAGGCTGCAGAGCCTCCCGCAGGCGGGAGTAGTTGCGCTCCAGCTCACGGTGGTACTCCTTCTGGTCCGGCCCAATCAGGGCTTTGTTCTTCCGCAGCGCATCCTCGCACCTGAGGGAGGACCAGATGGCATGAGATGCTCAGGGGCTGACACTCAGAAGACAAAGCAAGACCAGAGGTGGGGAGTTCGCGAGCTGGGGTCAGGCATGCAGAGGAGCCTATAATGGGGGTCCGGCAGGTGGATGTGACTTAATGGAAATCAGAGAGGCTACAATGGGGGCTCAGGTTTATAGACAGGCTGTACTGGGGAGTCAGATAGGCAGAGAGCCATAATGCGGGGGTTAGAGGGACCCTGATTGGGGGGGTGGTCAGGCCTACTTCTTGCAGAAGTCCTTGAAACAGAGCCGCAGCTTGTTGTGATGCCTGAAGAGCTTAGGGTCTTGCGGGATCTCGGCCAAAAACACCTGGGCCACCTCCAGTGGACCCTGTGGGGTGACAGGGACTTGTGACGATGTCTGCACGGCCCCCGGGGGCCTCAGGCAGCCTGCATACCCCACCGACCGTGCCTGGTTTACAGTGGGCCCCACGGAGCCCTGCAGCACCATCTGCAGCATTTTGGCATCAGGCGGGTCCTGCTCGGTGGCGAAGGCCAGCTCCCGAGTCTTCTTCTGCATGTCCTCAATGGCCACCTCTACTGGCGTCAGCACTGTCTGCGGGGTGGAGATAAGCGGGCACACCTCGGGGCCCGAGGATGTGCTGACCCAACCCAGCCCACGGCAGCTTGGACCCCAGCTGGGGGTGGACAGGGGTACAAGAGGCTGTAAGGAACCAGGTCTGGGGCTCCTGCCTGCCTGGGTCTGGCAGGGTGGGGGTCAAGGTTCAGCTGCCTTTGTCTGGTTCTGATAACTCTGGTCTGGTTCTCGTCCAGCCTTGGGTCAGCAAGGTCTGGAAGTAAGGGTTTGAGTCTGCAGATTGGGGTCTGGAGGTTGGAGTTTGGGGGTCCCTGGCCTCCCTTGGTTTTGGGGTCTCTGTACCTCCCCTCCCTGGGCCTCCCCCAGGCCTGGGCCCCGCCCACCTCCTCCCGGTGGCACACGCGGATTCGTGTCTTGATGTAGGGGAAGGCGTGGTCTGTGCTGAGCAGCGTCTTGCGCTTGTGCTGCTCGGGCAGCTCTCCGTGTGCGCGCCCGTCCGGCGTGAAGGGCGTGCAGAACAGGAAGGTTCGCAGCCCGTAGTTGCGGTCGAAGTAGGTCACCCGGTCCTTGAGCTCATAGGTGTCGAAGTGCGGCTCCACGTACGTGATCTGGATGTAGGCCTGGGGCACGGGGCTCAGGGGTGAGGCTCTCAGCCCCAATACACACACCTGGGGCTTGCTGGCCTCCCGCAGGGGCCCCATCCCTGGAGAAAGGGGATTTGGGCCTCCTTGGGTCTGGGGGCTTTGGATCTGGGGTTCCCAGGTCTCCCTATATCTCCTTTGGATGTTTGGGAATCCCATGAGGAATAGGACGTTGGGTCCCCGAGGGAGATCAGCTTTGGAGTTTCCCAGAGATATAGGATTTGAGGGGCCACAGGATTACAGGACTTGGAGTCTCCCTGAATATAGGATTTTGGGGTCCCTGGGGGGATAGTAAGGAGTCCTCACCTTCTGGGGGTCCAGCTTGGTCTTGTCCACAGGGTTAGAATCTTTGATGATCTGGACCACGTCCTCCCCAAATCTCTCCGTGTAGAACTCCTGAGAGCACGGGGCTGACTCACAGCTGCAGCCCCAGTGCCCTGTCCCAGGGCACCCCGCCCCAGGGCAGCCCAGTGCCCTGTCCACCCCCGCCCCCACCGCCAGGACGTGCCTCCAGCCGGTGTGAGATCTCGGCCAGCTTTGTGATGGATGGCTCCTTGTACACGAACTCCTGTTCATCTAGGTCACCAAAGCGGGCACCGTAGAAGCCCACGCGGAAATATGTCCCGAACACACGCTGGGGCTGTGGGAAAGCTGCTGTTGCCCAGGAGGCCCTGCTGGAGGTCCCCCTACGCCAGAGACACATGGGTCCTCAGGCCCCACGTGCAGAAGAGGTGGGCATGGGCGGAGGACCCCGGACACCCTAAGAACATCGCATCACAGGCACAGGCAGGGGCATGGACCCACATGACTGCCAATTGCCCACACCCTCACTCTTTTTCCCCAGCCTGCCTCCTACCTCCCACAAATCTTTATTCTCATTTAACACAAACCCCTAGTTTCTGATTCTCCTTCATGACCCATGCAGTTCTTCAGAGTCTGGATCTCAATATGAAATGAGAACCGGGGCCCTATTGCTCATAACTAGGTCCTCAATGCCTATAGGTCTGGGTATACAGTAGGTGCTCATATGCATGAGTGACTGAGGGAAAGCGTGGCCGTTTCTTGCTCTGGGACAGAGGCTCTAGTTCCCTTGTTCCGGTGCATCCCCTCCCCTCCCAGATCTAAGTTTGCCAAGAAGGACCCCCTCCCTCCAGGTAGGCTACTTTTCACCGGGAAGGATGGGGGTGGCTCCATGTTCACTCACCAAGGCAGATCCAGGCAGGGTGAGATAGGTACCAGGAGACGGAGGTGGGGAGCAGGGGGCAGAGAGACAAAGTCATGGGTGAGGTCAGAGGTCACAGCCCCCAACCCCCAGAGTCCTGGTTATGCTACCCCATGAGAGCTATTCCATGGGCAGAGACAGGAGATCCGGGGAGGGAGAGGACTTAACCGCCCCGCCCAGCTCCCACTCAGTCCTCCCCCCTTGGTTCTGGGTTCCTGCCATCTTTGGCCAGAAAATTCTCCCCAAACTAGGAGATGCCTAAAAATAGACCCAAGTCGGGGAGAGGCGGGAGAGGGGGGACATTAAATGGCAATGAGCAGAGACCCTGGGGGAAGCTGGGGAGACAGGGAGAGACAGAAACCAAGGGAGACACACAGAGAGAGTGATCAAGGAGAGAGGCAGAGACAGGGAGAGATGGACGGAAAGAGACCAAGAGACACAAAGAGAGAGAAAGAGAAACAGAGACAGAGGAAGTTGGAGGCCCCCCCTTCCAGGCAGTGACCAAGCTGGCCCTGCCTGAGGGAGGGGTGTCTCTGGAGAGCTCCCAGCTGGGTGAGTCACAGGCTGCCCTGGAGATCTGGGGCAGGGAGGGGGGCTCCGGGGGGGAAGTAGTGGGGTGCGTCATCACCCACTGAGCCCCCGCGGCCAGGCAGCTGTGCTCCTCCAGCGCCCCCTGGTGGTGCCTGACCACTGTTGACCAGAGGCAGGTGGCCACTCACCTCCCAGCCGGAGCTCTGTGGGTGAGGACAGAAGGGTCAAGGTCAGCTGAGCTCGGCAGGGGCCAGGGGCTGGGGCTGAGGGCAGGGTCTGAGAGGGCATCCTGGGCCCACCTGGTGCATGATCTTGGTGAAGGCCTCCTGCAGTTTGCCGTGCACAGCAGCCAGCTTCTTGTAGTCGCGGTGGGCTTCCAGGATGGGGATGAGGGTCTTGTAGACCTCATTCACTGCCTCGTAGAGCCCACCCTGGGGGTGGAACATCAGGATTTCCAGCACCAGCCCTGATCTTCTCTCCTGCCTGGAACAACCCTCCTTCCATGCTCCTACCCACCCTCCAGGGCGCCATCTTCAATCACTTCCTCCAGGAAGCCCACCCTGACCACACCTGCCCCAGATGGGGTACCAGCCTTTCCACTCAGCCCCTACAAACATCCTCTGTGGTCTCCACCATGCTTACTATGGACCCGGTGCTGTGTACATGTACACTCTACCCATGTTCCTTCATTGGTGGGAGGAGTCATCATCTTTTTCCATTCCTCAGAGGGGAAACTGAACTTCAGAGACGTGGAGGGGCTCCCCAGGGCCAGGACCTGAAGGCCGGCCCTTCTGGCATGGTGTCTAAAACCTCCACACCCAACTGCCTCCCAGCACATGGTAATGGCCGCTCCTGAGTGCCGCTGGCCCCCAGTCAGGGCCAGCATCAAGCCTGGCACACGGCAGGTATCCTGAGCTATTTGCTGACTGTTAGAGATCTGTGTCTACCGTCTGGCTTATTCCCAAGGCCTCTGTCTCTGAGACTCCAGCAAAGTGATCATAATAATAAAAACAACAATAATTTAAAAAAAAAAACCTCTAGAAAAAAAGGGGAAAAAAAAAAAGAAGGCTTGATGCAAAGAATTGAAACAGGATGGTAAATATAGGTGGTCACTGAATTTGAGTGCTGGGTATGGGGGGTGGTGGGGATACAACTTTCTTTTATGTGTTCTTGAAATTTTTTATAACAAAAGAGAATTTTAGGGAATTCCCTAGTGGTCCAGTGGTTAGGACTCCACATTCTCACTGCAGGGGGGCCTGGGTTCAGTCCCCTTAGTCGGGGAACTAAGATCCTGCAAGCCACAGGGTGCGGCACGAAAAAAAAAAAGAAGAATTTAAAATGGTAACTGAATATATTCAAGGGTTTTATGGGGAAAAAGGCAGGTAACGGGGCCTCTGAGGGATCCCAGTCCTTCTCCACAAATCCCCTGCCCAGAAAGGGTCCAGGCAGCAGCTTCACCTTGAGGCTCTGGGAGCGGGTATCGGGCTCACGAGCAGATGCACGATGTCGCCCCAGCCCCAGGCCTCACCATGGTGAAGTAGGCAGCCGCCTGTTCCAGCAGCCCCACCAGCCCCAGCTCCGTGAAGTGCTTCCCGGAACAGAAGCCCTCCTCATCAGGCGACAGGATGTCGTCAGAGATGGCGGACTCCTCCAGCACGTTGGACGAGATGTTCTGGGGTGGGAGGTGGCATCAGAGCCTGGTCCTCGGCCCACGTGTGCCACCCCCTGCCCGCCACTACCCCACCCCCCAGCCCCCCATCCCTGACGCTCACCTGGAAGGAAACACAGCCCACAGGCAGGTGGCGGCTGTCCTCCAGCAGAGCGAGGTACTCGGCCACCAGGGCGGCCGCGTGAACCATGCACTGCGCAGCCTCCGCGTGGTTGCCCAGCTCCGCGTGCTTCCCCGCCATGTTCTGCAGCCATGTCAGCCGCAGGTCTGGGGAGCCCTGGTAGCCCCGGGCAATCCTAGAACCCAGGTGAGGGGGGATGTGAGAAGGATGGAGACTCACCTTGCCCCCCTGCTCATCCCTCACTTGTCCATCCCCTTCACCTGTGACCCCACCCATCTGCCCCAGCCAATCTCCTCACCCTTACCCCATTCACCTGTCTCCTTACTTATCCCACTCCTTACCTGTCCATCTCTTCATTACCCCCACAAGTGTCACTCTGGGTCTGCCCAGGCCCATCCCTTCTGTATGCCCCCTGCCTTCCCTGTCTCCATCACCCGGGCCCCCATCTCCCACTCCCCAGTTTCTTACTAAATACCCTTTACTCTCCTCCAAATCACTTGTTCCCCTAATCTGTCACCCCTTCATGGGTTAGCACCTCACCTGTCTCTCCTACCTGTCCCCCTCACTTATTCTTGTGCTCCTCTGTCATCCTCATCTGTATGTTCACCTGGCCCTCACCTGTCTGCCCTCTCACTTGGTCATCTTCACGTGTCTCCTCTCCTGGTCCCTCTTCACTTGGCCATCCTTAATTGTCTCTCTTATTACCTGTACGTTCACCTGCTCCCTCCCCACCTGTCCCTCTCACCACCTCCTCTCCCCTCACCTGTCTGTGAATGGCTGAAGGTTCCAACCGGCCCTCCTCACCTGTACATGAGGTCAATGAGCATTTCCGGGTCCTCCTGATGCTCCTTCATCTTCACCGTGTCAGTCAGGATCATGTGCAAGTTGAACATCAGGTCCTGGACCTGGAACGGGGGAATGGCCAGGAGTGACGGAGCCGAGGTGGTGGGGTCAGGGGTCAAGCATGGCAGGGCAAAGACCCTGGCTGCGGAAGGTCGGGCGGGGGTCCGGCGGGGTCACCTGCTCAGCAAAGGTGCTGTCCCGCAGCCCCACATCCTCCTCGGCATAGGTGAGGATGGTCTTGAGTGAACGTCGCAGGTGCTCTTCGCTGAAGTTCTGCGTTGTCCCCACCAGGGACGAAAGCGACATGGTCACTTGCATCTTCACGCGGGCAAAGTTCTGGGTAGGCCGGGGAGGAAGAGCACGCCTGACTGTGGACCTCGGACCCTCACACCAGAGCCTGCTCGACCCACTGACTTCACCTCTCTCCCCTCCTGCCGTGCATCTATCGTGTCAAGACCCCTAGTCGGCCGCCCTCCCCAGAGCCGTAGATCACCCCCACCGCCACACCCCCACTTACGTTGCCAATCTCGAAATTCTGGCGCATGAGGAGGTAGAGGGAGGCGCTGGCGTGCGTACGGATGGCGCTGATGCGGCTGCCGCAGTGTCGCAGGAGCCTCAAGCAGAGGTCGGCACACAGCTCTGTGTCCTCCTCAAACAGCAGCTCTGGGAACTGGCCCCCAGGGCGGGACAGACACCAGTCAGCCCCTCCCCGTTCTGGCTCAGAAGGTCCCCGATGGGGACATGGGCAGAAGCATCGGTCTGTGTTCTGCCTTCTCGGGCCAAGCCCAGCAGGTTTTGGCGTCAGACCTGGGTTTAAGCCCCTACTGTGTGACTCCGGGTGAGTAACTCTGCCATTCTGATCCTCAGTTCCCTCCTCTGCAAGCTGTAGCTAAGGAGTGTCTGCCTGCCTCATGGAGCTGCTGAGCACACAACAGTTGCTCAATGAATGGGCTGTGACTGTTACTCTTTTTTTTCTTTTTTTTTTTTGCGGTACGCGGGCCTCACTGTTGTGGCCTCTCCCGCTGCGGAGCACAGGCTCCGGACGCGCAGGCTCAGCGGCCATGGCTCACGGGCCCAGCCGCTCCGCGGCATGTGGGATCTTCCCGGACCGGGGCACGAACCCGTGTCCCCTGCATCGGCAGGCGGACTCTCAACCACTGCGCCACCAGGGAAGCCCAACTGTTACTCTTAAGAAGCGTGGCTGTCGGAGGTACTCACCTTGGATACCAGGGCCCGCTGTGTGGCCAGGCCGTGCTGCAAGAAGAGGGCACTCTGGGCACTGCCCAGACTGTACAACACAACCTTCAGTACCGCGCCCAAGATACTCTCCCGGGCCTCTGACAGCATCACCGTCTGGGGGGCCAGAAATCCAGCTGTTAGAGACTGGGGTGGTTATGGAGTCAGGGAAGGAGAGGGATTCTGGAGTCAGAGATCACAAGGCCCTGTGGTGGGGTAAGAGGTGAGGGAGGTGCTGGATCAAGCCCTACCTGCACGATGATCTCCAGTGTATCCAGAACCACCAGGCTTGCCTCGGTTGCCAGGTTCCCGTCCACCAAGGCCTCGTGTTCCATTTCATCCTTGGTCCTGGAGGGGACAGGAGGGATGGAGGGGGCCTCTCAGGGCCAGACTTCACCCCACGGCTGAGGTCTTTCCCCTCCCTCGGCTGCCCTGGGGCGGGGGAGGGGGGGCGCCAGTTCTCTGGACATTGGTCTAACCCCAGCAAACTACTTCCTGCCCACACCCACTTGTCCACACGGTCCGAGGTTTGTCTCCAGTGTGTGATGCTCTTCCGCCAGCGTACATTCTCCTGGTTCCCAAATGGGCTCCTCTCTGAGACACACAGGTGCATGTTCACAGATGTGCAAAAACAGAAAGACACACGTGACCATGAGAATGGATCCCACACACATGGGATCCCTGTGAGGACACTGGGTGACGTGGATGCTTGCGGAGTGGATGCAGTTAGACGTGAACAGGGAACACAGACACCCACGTGTACGGGGATAACGCGTCGACTTCTTTCTGGGAAAAGTAAGCCAAATAGAGGCAGAGATGGTCCCCGCCTTGGGGCCCCTGGTACAAAGGCTGGGAGGCACCGGGTAGGGACGTGCATGGGGTACATCTCCCTCTCACCACGGCTCCGTCGCACCATCTCCTGTCGGGCTCCGATGGTGCCCAAGATAGCTTCCTCCAGCCGGGCCTTCATGTCCAGTGACTTCTTGAACGTGAGACTGTTGATACGTTCAAAGGCCTTTTTCCCCTGCAGGAACAGAGAATAAGTTCGAGGTTGACTCTGCTCTTTTCTGTGGGCTAACCTGGTCCTGCTTCTTCTGCCTCCTATACCCCAGTCCCCCGCCCACCCCTCGAACCTTGTATTCAAAGGCAGCCAGACAGAGGTACAGCAAGTCCAAGAGACGACCCAGCTGAGGGAGGGCCAGGTCCGCAGCCCAGCGCTGCAGCAGGGCTGGCTCAGCATTCTTCAAGACCCACAGCACACACACCAGCAAGGTCCGACTAGACTCGGCAGAGAGGGCACAGCCCGAGCGAGCAGCCTGGGGGCAGAGAGGGGACAGGGCACTCAGAAGGAAGAGAGGTGACTTTCATTTTTCTCCATGTTAAGATGAGACCTGGCCAGTTGGTACTTCATTGCATAAATTCCATTACCAGGTTATCGGACACACAATGTCCAAAATACAATAAAAAAACCACAAGACATGTGAAGAGCCAGGAAGATGTGATTGATAAGGGAGAAAAGACATTAGACGCGGGCACAAAAACAATCAAATGTTGGATGGGGTCTCTGGGGACAAGGCTGGTACTCACTGTCGCTGGGCCCTGGGAGATGCTGGCCCGGGAGCCAGGGGCCAGGGGGCCACCAGCAATGGCCATGGCCACTGAGGGGTTGATGGTGCCTCCCATGTCCCCTTCCCCTTCTGTGTCTGAGTCGAGCATAGAGGCCAGTCTTGACCGCTGACCTGGACCCTCTGGGTCGAGAAAAGAATGAGACCGTGGTTAAGTGCTGTCTCTGTCTCAAATTTCAGCTCACAGGTCACCTCCTCAGGGAAGCCTTCCCTGATTCCACCCCCCAGACCAGACCAGGGTGGGGTCTCTAGTTGTTGACTCCCAGAGCTCACTTATTGTACTTGTAATTAGATACATGCATCATGCAACTGTTTCTAAGATCCACAAAGGCCTGGACTATATCTGCTCTGGCCACTCTAAACTCAACACTTAGAACGTGGCCTTGTGCACAGGAGCAGTCATTGTAGAGATGACGACGATGATGATGATGGCAATGGTGACAACCATAATAATAAATGCTGCTGCTATTATTATAGCACCAGCTGGCGCTTACATAGCATTTCCTGCGTCAGGTACTGTTCTAAGCACTTTAACAATATTAACTCTTACTCTTCAAAACAACCCTATGAGATAAGTCCTTTTATCACCCTTACTCTTTAGAAGAAGAAACTGAGGCACAGAGAGGTTAAGTTACTTTCCTGGGGTCACACAGTAGGTAAATGGTAGAGCTAGGATTTTAATCTAAACAGTCTGGTTCCAAAATCTCTGATCTTGGACTTCCCTGGTGGCACAGTGGTTAAGAATCCACCTGCCAATGCAGGGGACACAGGTTCAATCCCTGGTCCAGGAAGATTCCCACATGCCACGGAGCCACTAAGCCCGTATGCCACAACTACTGAGCCTGTGCTCTAGAGCCCACATGCCATAACTACTGAAGCCTACACGCCTAAAGCCTGTGCTCCGCAACAAGAGAAGCCACTGCAATAAGAAGCCCGCGCACCGCAACAAAGAGTGGCCCCCGCTCACCGCAACTACAGAAAGCCCGTGCACAGCAACGAAGACACAACACAGCCAAAAAAAAAAAGAAAAAAAAAATCTCTGATTTTAAAAGAGTACTCTCTCCACTCCCCACTCCCCAAAAAACACAGTCTCATCAGAGAGAGAGAGTTGCTGTCAACAAATACAGAACAGGTTTCACTCCAGAGAGTCTTGAAATAAAAGGTCAAAGTCAACTGAGTTTTACTAAAGCTCCAGCCCAGTTTAACCTAGCTGAATTCCTGACTGGATTGAGGTGATCAGCCCCTTATCCTAGCTGCCTAAGAGAGAGAAAGGGGAATGCTCACTGGGAAAAGATGACATTGCTTCAGTCCTGATGTTCCTTTTACATGCAATGTCCAAAATACAATACAAAATCAGAAGATGTGAAGAGGCAGGAAAAGGTGACTGATAAGGGAGAAAAGACAATAGAAGCAGGCACAGAAATGATCAAATGTTGAAGTGAGCAAAACTTTAAAATAAAAAATAAAAAAGATGCACAAACATGGGTTAAAAAAACGGAGAATTTCAGCAGAGAACTAGAATCTACAACAACAACGAAATCAAAATTTACAACTGGAAAATATAAAATTTGAAATTCAGAACTCAATGGAGGGGATTAATAGAAGACCAGACACAGCAGAAGACAGAAGTAGTGAGCTCAAACACATGTGAAGAGAAAGTTTCCCAACTCAAGCACAGGGAGCAAACAGAATGAAAACCAGAACAGAGCACAGCAGACACTTGTAACATGATCATAAAGGTCTAACATACGTGTAATTGGAGTCTCAGGAGGAGAGAAGAGAGAAAACGAGGCAGAAAAAAAAATTCAAGAGATAACAACTGAGAGTTTCCCCCGAATGACGAAGGGGATCAACCCACCAATCCCAGGTCTGTGTTTCCAACCACTGAACACACTTGTCCATCAGTGGTGCCAATGAAAGTGCATATAAATGAACGAACACAGGGCTCTAACTGATGTTCCCCACCTTGCCCTCCTCACACCTCTTTCTAGAAGATAATTCACCTCCCATGTATTGCACGCTGACAATATCCCAGTACTACACGTGCTCAGATTTTCACATAATCCTAGGAAGTAGCTGGTGCTACCACTGTCTCCATGTTACAGGTGATAAATCTGAGGCTCAGAGAGGTTACTGGCTTTCCTGGGGCCCCACAGCAGGACTTGAACCCACTCCTCTGATCCTAACACCCATGGTTTTACTCCTAACATGCTCGCCCACCTTTCCCGATCTGAGCCTTGTGGGATCAATCAGGCCCCCAGATTGTGGGACCCCACCCCTCCTTGCCCTGCTGACCAGCAAAGTCATGCAGCCGTGGCAGTGTGTCCCGCGCCAGTGACAGCAGTGGCAGGTATAGCTCGGCCACCCGGGCCTTCACAGTGGCCTCGGCGTAGCGGGGGTCAGCATCATGGCCACAGAGCAGGCTGTGGACAGCACTGATGGCCTTCTTGTGCAGCAGAGACGCCCTGTGGGGTAGTGAGGTGCTCAGGACAGAGTGGGTGTGGCTCCTGGACCTTCCTCCCGCCCCACGGCCAGGCAGGGCCTGTGCTCACCCCTCGGCCTCAGGTTCCAGGGCCAGGGCCAGTTCCGTCAGCAGGAGCCCAGCCAGGAAGTGCTGCTGCCGGAACGACCCACTCAGCTCGAACATGCTGATCACCTTGGGGTCTGGGGCCTGGCTGGAAAAGGTGGAGCTCTGGAGAGGGGGACAAAGCAAGGGACCAGGGGCCAAGGGTCAGAGGTGAGAGGTTAGGGTTAACTCATCTGTGAGATGACAGGGCACAGGGTCCAAAGTCAGAGATTTGAGAAATGGCAGATGGAACGCCAGTCTGGGAGTTAGCATTTAGGGGTGAGAAATCAGAAGCTGGTCCTCCCAGGAAACTGCTGAGAATGCAGGGTCAGAGGTGAAGGGTCAGAGGTAAGGGGTCAGTCCCCTGGGCAGTGGCCTATTGCGAAATGGACAGAGATGAGGGAACCACACAAGAAGGGCTGAAAGGTAAGAGGTCATAGGTAAAGAAGAGGAAGCAGATGTGAGGCCAGCCCACCTGTGAGGTGGTGGAAGATACGGAGGGCGAGGGTGAGGCCGGGGGTGACAGGGGGCAGCAAGGGAGGTTGAGGGTCACGTAGTGCTCGTGGCCGCATAGGATGCGGGTGAAGTCCATGCGCAGGGTCAGCAGCACCGCCGGGTTGGGAGCCGACTGCAGCCGTGTGGCCACCTGCGGGGGAGGGTTCAGCAGGTGACACTACACTGCTCTGCCCACCAATCCACACCACCCCCTGCCATGTCCCCGCAGGTGTGCTGTCCCCTCCAAGTCCCCCACAGGTATGCCGTCCCCACCACATCCCCGCAGGTGTGTTGTTCCTACCACGTCTCTGCAGGTGTGCCATTCCCACCACGCCCACCCCTACCTGCTTGTAGTGAGCCCGGACCAGGCTGAAGACAAAGCCGCGGTCCACCAGGGACAGCAGATCACTGAGGAAGAAGGCCAGGCTGGCGTTGAGGTGCTCGGCCAGCTCCACGTCCTGGGGGAACAGGGCCTGTCAGGCCATGCCCACCCACCCCATCAAGCCTCCATCCCTGCCCTTGGCCTGGCTCTCGCCAAGGCCACCAGTGACCCCTAAGAGCCGTGTCACTGCCCGAAAACCTTGGGTCTCCTCGACACGCCCTTGTCTCTAGGCTCTGGACTCCCAGGCTTCCTGGTTGCCCTCCTCCCTCTGACTAGCCCTTCCCTTCCCCACAATTAGTGTCTACCCTCCACCCGGCTCTGTTGAGGACACTCTTTTTCATTCTCTCACCAGATTTGAGTAACACAACACAGATGGCAGAGACTGGCTGCTGACCCCTTACCATATCCTCTCACAGGTATTGGGACGCTTTTTCAGAGTTCAGAGCTGGGTAGGGACTACATTTCCTAGCCTCCCATGCAGCTGAGAACAATCATGTGACCACATCCTGGCCAGTGGGATTTGAGAGGAATGACGCGGCCACTTAAACAGAAGGGGCAGGTCCTCCGGTTTCCATAGCCTGTAATGCCTGATGTGGCAGGTACCATGATGAACTGAGATGGCCAGGCCCACACCGTGGAGCCCCCCGTAGCCTACCTATGCTCAGAAATAAACTTTGGTCACATTTAAACCATTTGTGATGATGTTGAAGCAAATTAACCTTTGCCCTAACTGATAAACCCTAAGAAATCATTTAACAAGCATCTATTATGTACCAAGTCTTGTGAAAAAGACAGACATGGTCCCTGCTGATTGTCCAGCTCTCAGTCTCATGGGCTCATGGGGGAGAGGCCTGAAGGGTGAGCAAGAGCCCAGGGGAGAAAGGCGTTCTGAAGAGAGGGAACAGTAAGTGCAAAGGCCCTGGAGCAGGAAGCGCCTGGCAAGTGTGAGGAACGACAAGGAAGGAGGCTCCCATGGCCTCAAGGCCCAGCTGCCCTCCTGCTTTCGGGAGCTACTCTTGGCCTCACAAGTTAGCCTCGGTGGCCCGCAGTTCCCTGCAACCCAAAGAAACAAAATACAAAATCCACCTGAGCTCTGAGTCCTCAAGCGGGGCAGAGACTTGTGCGTGGAGCCTGACACAGTTGGTACTCCATAAATGTCAAGTGAAGGAATGAAACCGCTGTGGCCCGTCACTGATACCCCCCAGCGCTGTGACGAAGGTGCTTCTCAAGGGCACTGTTCTTCCCTGCAGCCCTTTTTTTTTTTTTTTTTAAAGAAGATGTAGGGGTTAGGAGTTTATTAATTAATTAATTTATTTTTGCTGTGTTGGGTCTTCGTTTCTGTGCGAGGGCTTTCTCTGGTTGTGGCAAGCGGGGGCCACTCTTCGTCGCGGTGCGCGGGCCTCTCACTGTCACGGTCTCTCTTGTTGTGGAGCACAGGCTCCAGACGTGCAGGCTCAGTAGTTGTGGCTCACAGGCCTAGTTGCTCCACGGCATGTGGGATCCTCCCAGACCAGGGCTCGAACCCGTGTCCCCTGCAGGCAGATTCTCAACCACTACGGCACCAGGGAAGCCCCTTCCTGCAGCCCTTTTGAGGAGGGTTTCCTCATAATCTGGATCAGCCTCCGGGAACTCAGCCCTTGGGGAGGTTCTAGTGCAACAAGGTTAAAACCTTCGAGACCAGCCCAGAGGTCGTGGGGGATTGCACAAGGACCAGCTTGAGCTAACTAGCATTTCAAAAATCTGGAAAATTCCCATCAAATCCGAAGTCCCCTTTCTCTTTAAAAATCAGACATTCTGGCCACATGCCCTCTGGTCCACCATAAGCCCTACTCCCCCAACTGAAGCTGGTGGTGAGGGTTCAAATCCCCATTCTGCCCATTCCCACTTATATGGTATCAAGTTGTTACTCAGTCATTCTTTGCCTCCGTTTCTCCAACAGTATAATGGAGGAAACAATACTACTAACTTCATGGAGTTGTTGGGAGAGTTTAATGTGATCCATCTAAAGTATTTAGGTAGGGGCTTCCCTGGTGGCACAGTGTTAAGAATCCTCCTGCCAATGCAGGGGACATGGGTTTGAGGCCTGGTCCGGGAAGATCCTACATGCCGTGGAGCAACTAAGCCCGTGCACAACTACTGAGCCTGCATGCCCCAACTACAGAAGCCTGCGTGCCTAGAGCCCGTGCTCCGCAACAAGAGAAGACACTGCAATGAGAAGCCCGCGCACCGCAATAAAGAGTAGCCCCCGCTCGCCACAGCTAGAGAAAGCCCGCGCACAGCAATGGAGACCCAGTGCAGCCAGAAATAAACAAATAAAAATAAATAAATAAAATTTAAAAATAAAGTATTTAAGTACACAGTAAGTGCTCAATAAATGCATAATTTTATTACTATTATCATTGTCTGCCCAGCTTCTGTGAGCACTGGAATTAGTGGTCCAGGGCCTGGATAACCATCAAGGTCTCGGAACATCGACATCCATTTACTGAGTACTTACTGTATTCTGATACTGTGCTAAGGGCTAATGCATCTGCCCTGTCACCTCTCTGCCTTCACCAACTCCCACTCTCCACTTTGTTCACTTCACCCCAGCCACTCACCTCCTCACTGCTCCTCTGACAGTGGCACGGTCCTGCCTCAGGGCCTTTGCACTTGCTGTTCCCCCCCTGACTGGAATGCTCTTCTCCCAGATATCACATAGATTGCTCCCTCATGTCCTTCAAGTCTTCCCCTAAAAGTCAGCTCCGTGAGGGTAAGGAACTGGGTCTGTTTTGTTCACTGCTGTGTCTCTAGTTCCCAGCACAGGGCTGTGCTTAAGAAATAGATGTTGCGTGAACAGACTGATTGAGCAAATGGGATTCGTGGTCTTGTAGCCAGGAGGCACTGGACAGGACTGATGCCTCATGTGGCTGGCTCTATGTCCTCCCTAAGCACCCCTTCCCGCCCCCCTCCATGGAGGCCCCTCCCCCTTACCTTGTGGACGCGGGTGATGACCTCCAGGCCCACAGAGCCCACCAGGGCAGCAATGTCATCCAGGAAGCGCCCAGGGAAGCGAAGCTTGCGGGGTGTGTCCAGCTTCTGGCCCAGAAGCAGGTGCAGCGCCATGCTTTTCACCTGGGGGTGGGACAAGAGGGTGGGGGGTGGGTCTTGAGGGGCTGTGGGTGGAGGTGGCCTGCCAGAAGGGAGCAGATGGGTGGGCTGTGAGTGGTGGCTTGAAGTGGGCTAAAGGTGGGCATGAGGGGTCCTGGATGTGGCTTGAGCCCTGTAGTTATGGGGTGAGAGTGGGGCCTGATAGCTGTGGGGAGGGCCCAAGAGCTGTGGGTGGGACTTTGCAGGTTGTGGGTGGGGCTTGAGAAGGACATGGGCGGGGCCTTGAGTGGGTGCGAGGCTGAGAGAGTATGGGTGGGGCTAGAGCAGGTCTCCAGGGGTCAACGTCTGACTGTAGGTAGGAGGGTGGGGCTTGAAGGCCCACCAGATTGAGGGGGGGACGGCTGTAGTCAGGAGGAATAGTTCAAGGCACCTCTTGAAGAGTTTGGGGGATGTCTCAAGTCTGATCCCAACAGTTTCCTTCTCTCTCTTGCAGGGGAGGCCTCCTTGCTAGCTGGGGGTCTCTCAATGGTCTTATAGGGAAGGTGGGTAGTGGGGATCCTTCTCGCTGTGGAAGGGGTTTCAGGGAACTTTCAGGGGGCCTCTCCAGGGAGAGATTCCCTTAAGCATCTCTTCTCTCTCTCTACGTGTGGGTCTCTTGGGGCCACTTCTCAGGAGGCTTAGGTACAATCTCAGGGGGCTTCTCTCCCCAAGGAGAGTCTCCCCTGGGGGCCCCTTGTTCTTGGGTGGGGAGGAGGGCGTCTCACCATGAGCTGGAAGAAGAACCAGGCATGCTGCAGGACAGCCTCGCGCACGGCACTGCCGCTGACCACCCACTGCAGGGCCAGCTCCTCGTGAAGCAGCTGGGGGCAGGGGCAGGGATCACAGAGAGCAGAGGAGCCCACCCCGTACCCCCGTCTGGAGGGCGTGACAGGGGAGGATGCAGCTGGAGGGCTTGGGATTAGAGCAGCGAAAGGCCATGCAGGAGGAAAGGGGCCAGGAGGAGTCAACGTGCCCTTTCCCCGGGCTCTCCAGACCCTGCTGGGCTCGAGGGCAAGGGAGCTCTGGACCCCAAAAGGGAGTCACCCACCCCCTGCCTCCCACTACCTTCTGCACAGTGGGTCTCGGCTGGGTGGCTGGTGGGGTCGAGGAGGAGCCCTCGAGGTAGGAAGAGGTTCGGCTAGAGCTGCGGTCGATGGCCTATGATGGGATGACGAGGGGATGGGATGGCGAGGGGGGTCAGAGTGGGTGCAGGCGGTATGGATAGAGGAGAGAGACAGTCGGCGTGGATGGAGGAAAGACATGGCCGTGTGGACAGACAGCGGGGACGTGGATGGGGAGAGCCGTGTTAATAAAGACAGAAGTGTGTGGGAGCGGATGGAGAGAGTAAGAATGTGATGGAAGAGACGAGAAGAAGCAAGACACAGGTAAGGAGGGGACAAGCAGGGTGAACGGAACAGGCAAGAATGTGGACGGGAACCCATCAGATGGAGCAGGACCCAGCAGACAAAGATAAGAGAAAAGACATGGGAGGAGTGGAGGTGGGGAGGGTAAAATCAGTGTAGACGGAGAAGAGAACGTGGTCAGAGGAGGTGAGCCAAGCGGGGACGAGGGCGGAGAGTGTGTGTGAGTCCGTGAGTCCAGGGATGGACAGAGGAGGCGGAGGGCACCAGGGTGGAGGAGGAAGAGTGCAGACAGGGGTGTAGAGTATAGACAAAGGGGATTAAAGGGAAGATGGAGGAGGAGAAATAAGAAAAAGAAAGATAAGGACAGAGGAGGTGAGGTGGTGATGAGAGACAGTGGGAGCAGCCAAGAGAGCCCCAGTTTCCAGGCCTGGCCCCGCTCCAGCCTTGCTTGGGGCCTTGCCGGGCCTCAGTGTCCCCATCTGTGAAATGGGCATGAGGTGCTCAAGCTCCACTCTCCCCGCCTCCTTTGCTGGTCAGGTGAGGCCGCTGACAGGGAGAGGAGACCCAGTGATGGAGCTGGCCCGGCCCTGGAAACTGCCCAGGTCCTTGCCTTGGCCGTGAGGGCCCCCCCAGCTCCCATAGTCCCAGCCACACGCCCTGGGCTCCTCAGCCCGCATCAGATGGGCCATCTACCGCAAAGGCCAGCCTCACTGCCGCCTCCTGCCTGGAATGCCTGCCCTCCTGCCACCTTGTCACCTCTTATGTGCTCTTCCAGGCCCAGCTGACACCCCAGAGAACTGAGGGCACTGGTGGGGAGACCTGTTAAAAACATGGGGGGACTGGAAAGGCCCATGAACCCAGACTCCCAGCAAATCTTAGAAGACCGTCCAAAAGTCCCCCTGCTCGTGCTGTGAACAGTTCCCTGGCTGCCATGCGGTGCAGGTTGCCTAGGTGACAGGTACAGAGCTGGAACACGGCCTGGGGCCAGGTATGCAGGGAATCCAGCCCTTGGTGCCCAGGGGCCTCTGAGCTTGGTTCCAACCTCTGTATATGCCTTTCCCTCCATCTGGAACACCCACCCTTCACTGGCTGGCTCTATCTTACCCTTCAGGTACCAGCAAAAATGTCACCTCCCGGGAGAGGCTCCCCAGACCACCCAGAGGGAGGCTGGTGGCCTGTTTCAGTTCGTTTCCTTTCAGGTATTTTCACCCCCTGCAGTTATATATTCATGTGTTTGTTTGATGGGTGTCTCTCTCCCCGACTAGCCAGTAACTCAGGGATGAAGCTGGGTTGAGGATCTATCTCCCCAACAAAATCTTGCCTGTGATGCCCTAACTCCCTCCCAGGCTCGGACCGCTGCACTGAATAGCAAGTCTTCACTTCTGAAAATTCAGAACCTGGGGCGCAGGAGGAGCCCACAGCAGAACCAGGACTTGATCCCGATCCAGGGTCTGATGGCAAAGCCCCTCCGCACACCAGGTCCCAGGAAGGGGCAAAGCAAAGGAAGCTGCCCACAGGGGTCGCTCTGCCTGAAACGGGGTTGGGGAGCCCAGAGGTTCAGTTCCATCCCCTGGGCATCATTCAGGCTGCTGTGTCAAGGGGACAGTTGAGAGTCTCCCGAACAGAGTGGATTAAAGGGAGAGAAACAGGCCATGCGGGACAGTGAGGTTAGAGCGGCTGAATGTGCATATCATTTGCATGCTATTTGCATACCACCCTGCCCCTTCTGTCTCTGCCTGAGGCTGTGGTCTGTGTGGCAGCAAAAGGCTGGTTAAGATGACCCTGTGTTGCCTACAACATCCACTCCACAGCCCCAAACAAAGGCCCGGGGGGGGGGAGGGGGGTCCGCTGCCTCCTCCAGGCAGCCCCCCTAGGTTAGTCGGCCCCAGCCAGGAAGGTGGGAGGAGCTCATGCTGAGGTGGGGTGACACACGTGCAGGGGCAGGCAGGGAGGGCACCTGTCTGGGGTCGGCCCCACAATAAGGGGGTGCCCGTCGCAGCACCGCCTTGCTGCCTCCTGGAGCATAAGCAGAATTCACCCAGGAGTGTGAGCGGTCGATACCCTGGAGATACACGGATAAGTGGTAGCATCTATGGGCAGAGGGCAGGGAAACCAGCGTGAAACACCAAGCGTGCTCACTGTCCTGGGCCACACGTGTGCCCACGTGGACACCCACACGCAACCCTGGAATATGTGTGTGTGCGCAACTGCGCATGGGGTGCACACGTATATGCATCCCGCATACGTCTGTGCGTGGAATGCATGAGTACATGCACCCGCGTTCCCATGTGCGTGGGGTGCGTGCATATACGTGCCCCGTGTACGTACATGCATACGGTACACATGGAAATGCACCACTGCGCTATGTACATGGTGCTCTTTTTTCAAGATCCAGTCACCTGTCCTTGGGTCAGCCTAAGAGTCCGAGTCACAGCTCCCAACCTGTGACAGCCAGGGCCCAACCCTAATGTCCAGGGTCAAGTCTATTTTTTTTTGGCCAGTCTGTGTGGCTTGCAGGATCTTGGTTCCCTGACCAGGGATTGAACCCGCACCCTTGGCAGTGAGAGCTTGGAGTCCTAACCACTGGACTGCCAGGGAATAACCCAGGGTCAAGTCTTCATCCATGCTGTTGGCTGTCTTTCCTATCCTCTGTCAATACTGAGATCTTTCACCTGCCCACCTGGCAGCCATGACCACTGAGGCTGGAGAGAGCAGGGGCCCCTTGCCCTACCTTGCTGGCCAGGATGCGGGAGACCTCATCATCCACGGAGCCAGGGGCCACGGCCAGGTCAGGGTTGCTGCTGCTGATACTCTTAGAGCGGGCCAGGTAGAGGCTTGCGGGGCGGCCAGGGCCATGGGCCAGCGTGGCAGGCTGCAGCGTCACTGGAGGGGCCCCTGATGACAGAAGGAATATGCTCAGCCCCCTGCCCACCTGCCCTCATGACCCCCTGCCCCTTCCCAGTCAGCTGCCTTTGGCGAAGTCACTTTCTTTCTCTGAACCTCTAGGTTCTTCGCCTGTAAAATGGGTGTGATAATGGCTCTGCCTCACAGCAATTTTGGGGAGAATGAAAAACACTGAGAATGGTGCCTGGCACGTTATAAGTCTTAGTGCTAATTGTCAATTATTTAGCAAATGAAAAAAAATCCAACTTTATTGAGCGCTCAGTGTGCCAAGCATTTTGCATGGATTACTATGCCATTGACTACTACTAGCACCCCTGTGAGAGGCACTACTATTATCATCGTTTTATAGATGGGAAAACAGGCCCAGAGAGGTCAAGTCACTGGCCCAGAGTCACAGAGCTTGTAGGCAGAACTGAGATTCAAACCCAGACAGCTCTGCTTGAGTCCCTGCTTGCTGACTGGCTGAATCACATGCCACTCAAGTTTACAAAGACCACACCCCTGGGGCTGGGGCAAAAAGTTCTCTCTCTCTCTCTCCTGTAAATTGCCCAAGCCAACCAAAGCCTGTGCAGCCTCAGGACCTTTGCACATGCCCTTCCCTTTGCTTGGGATGCTCTGCTCCCAGGTATTTCCCGTGCCCCAGAGTCTCCCACCAACACTCACTGCCTGGGAGGCTGGGCTCCGTGCCAGGCAGTCGGAAGGCATAGTAGACATAGGCAGCCAGCAGTGGGCAGTGACCACGGGCATCCTGGGCAGCCTCCAGGCTCCGGTGGACGAGGCTGACTACATGAGCCATTGCTTCAAAGGCTACACGACCCAGGTTTACTGCCGGGAAGAAGAGAGGTCAAGTTCCAGGTCCCAGGGCTTCCTACTTCCCCAGGGAAGAGACTTCAGGGTCCAAGGGGCTCATGTGGCCATCAAAAATTCAGGGGACTAGGGGACTGAGGGGCCATTTTTCAGATTGGAAAACTGAGACCAGAGAAGTAAATGGGCTATGGGAGGTCACCCAGGACCAGGGGACCCAAGGCCCATTCTCCAGATGGGGAAACTAAGGTATGAGGCTGTGCCCGCGCACCGATCTGGCCGCCGATGATCGGGGGCCGCACGACCAGGCGTACGAGCTTGTCCAGTACGTGGTGGGAGAAGGCGACAAGGGGTTCAGGGCTGGCGAGTCGCAGGGCCACCAGGCTGGCCCGCAGCTCCTGTTCCACGGTGCTCTCGCTCAGCACGGCATCCTTGAGCCGGAATGGAAAGGCCCCTTCCTCCAGGACGTGCACCAGGGTGAAGAATTTGTCCAGGTAGGGGTCCTGGTGGGAGACCAGGGGTGAGCAGGGCGAGGCCAGGGCCCCCAGTCCAGAAAGGGCCCAGGGGATCGAGTGCGAGGCTGAGTAGGCTGGGACACCAAGGCTTGGGATCAGTGAATGGAAAATACATGAGAAAAGGGACAAGATGGTAGATCAAGAAGAAAAGGAAAAGGTGGGGAGTGATCACAGAAATAACAAGGGACAAATCGGGCAGGGGGAGGAGAGACCATGCAAAGGCCAAAGCTCCAGCTAGGACGGCCACTGGCACGGACGCCCCCGCCTGAGTCAGCAGCTTCCCTGGAGCCTGGCCCCGCTGACCAAAGTCGTGTCCAATGGCCCGAAGCCAGGCCTCCCTGGTCAGCGGAAACTGTTGCCCAACCCCAGGGCCGGACTCCTGGGCTCTGGCCCCACCCCCTACCTGGGGGTGCACAGACGACACAGCCGTGAGCTCCACGCTGAACACACCCTTGTGGCCATCCACCCAGCGCATGCCCGGCAGCGCCACCTGCGGGAGGGACACACCAAGTGGGCACCGGCCGGCCCTCCCCACCGCTCAGGCCACCAGCCTCAGCCATTGCGACACTGTGGCCCGAGCACAGCCCCGCCCCGGGGAGCCACCTGGCACCCTGCCCCCGGGCCCCGCCCAACCCAGAGATGGGGGCAGATGGAGGGGAGCGCTACGGGGGTCCACCGGGCAGGCCGGAAGCCTGGGATGCTCACGGGAGAATGGAGACCCAGAGTGACTGTTATTGGAGGGAATGAACAGGAAATAGCATGATGGGAGGACTCCAGGTCCCCGGGGTGCAAATTAAAGGCTATGCGGGAGGGTGACAGAACATTCGCATGGGGAGGGGGTGCCCTAGGGACAGTGATTAGGGAGGCAAGCAGGGCTGCAAGTGGGGGGCTGCAGCGGAGAGGCCGTGGAATCTCACTATGGAACAGTGAGTGCAGAGGCAGGGGAGGGGGCAGTAACGAGGCAGGGCTAGTCGGGGACAGGGAGGGACACGCACGGGGGCAGCAGATCACAGGATTAATAATGGGGGTGGGTGTGACGAGGCAGGCAGGGGCCCTGGAGGCCCTAATGGAGGACAAGGCTCCCAGGGGTATTGGTGGGAAGGAAAGCAGGGCACGAATGGGGGACTTGGGAGCACTGATGGGGGACAGGGTGCTAGTTGGCAGGGAGTCCAGAGCACGTACGTCCGGTGTGAGCACGGAGTAGCTGGGCGGGGGCTGATCCACGGACACAGGGAGGCAGAAGGGGCCGGTCCTCAGGTGGCCGTGCTGCAGCAGTGGGATCCACTGGGGGGAGGCTGGGGGTCAGGTATGGGGCCGGACGGGGGGCAGGGGGGCGGGGCCGGGGGGTGCGGGCTGGCAGTGGTGGAGGGGAGCTCACAGTAAAGCCCACAGGAGTCTCCAGGGCCGTGCCTGGCCGGGGCTGGCAGCTGACGTGGTAGAAGGTGAACAGCAGGTGGTGGTTCTCGGTCACACAGGCCGGAAGACGCAGCTTAAATTCCTCGTAGAATTCAGGGGACCTGGCAGGGCCGGCTGGGGGTTCTGCTGGGGGCCGGGCTCCCCCTTGCCTGCCCCGCCCCGTCTGCCACACGTTCCCCCAGTGCTGCTGGGCCCCACTGTCCCTGCTCTCTGCCTCGGGTTCCCGCATTAGCACTCCAGGAGACGGCGCCCCTTCCTGCCCCACTGTACCCCCATCAGTCCCCCCACCCCGACCCCACATACTTGTTATGGTAGACCACTGGTGTGAAGGCCTCGCGGGTGAATTCGCTGCAGCTGGACTTGCCGAAGATGACCTGGGGGAGCAGGGGCATGAGGGGCCGGTGGGGGACACCCCGCCCGCCTCCCCCTGGGCCCCGCCACTGACCGGCAGGGCCTGGCTGGGGTCCTCGCCCGCCATGTACTGCACTCGCACGGCGAGGTTGCGCACGGAGCCCTGGCGGCTGCTGAAGTTGAGGCTGTGCGGGTACACGTACAGCAGGTTCCTGCGGGGGCAGGGGCGTGTCCACGTCAGAGGGACAGAGAGCCGGGGGACGGCGGCCACACCACTGGGGCACTGAGAGCCGGGTCAGGGACACGTATGGGCACCAGGCGGGAGATGTGACTGGCAGAGAATGGAGGACAGACGGGCACCCTCAGAGCACAGGCGGGGGAATGGTGTGGCAGACGGTGGGAACAGAGGGACTTCGGGGGTGCTGAGGGTACACAGTGAGGCAGAGGGCAGGAGACAGATGGGTGCTGAGGGCCAGACTTCCGAGAAGGTAGCCCAGGCAACCAGCACCAGGCCTGAGCCCTGCGCAGGCTGACCTGCCCATCACCCAGCTCAGCAGCCTGACCACCCCTTCCCCCAGAAGAGGCCACTAGAATTATATGGCGTGTCTCTCAGGCGGGGAAACCCAGGCTGGAGTTGAAGGCAAGGGCTGGGCTGGGGTCAGGGTTCTGTCTCCCTTCCCCAGGGTAACTCCATTCAAACCCTAACTGCCCCCTGGGCCTCAGTTTCCCTATCTGTCTAATGGGGGCACCAAGCCTCCCCAGCTGAGCCTTTGTAATACCAATGATGCTAAATTACAAAAATGTCAATGATTGCACCGAACACTAACGTGGCACCGGCTGGCTCTGGGCGTGTTGGGCTCTGTTCTAAGCACCCGATGTGAAATGACTAATTTATTTCTCACCAGCAGCCTGTGGGCAGGGACTCACATCACACTCCATTTCACAGGGAAACAGAGGCACTCGCCCACAGTCATCCAGGGAGCCAAATGGCAGTTAGCACTGAGCCAGGGTACGTGGAGGTCCTGGAGTCAGGCTATGTGGTCCTGGGAGAGTCTCCACCATCTATACCTGCTCCCTTAGCTCTTAACCAGGCCGACAAAAACTCCAGCATCACAGGCTCATGGGAGGATTATGAGACCAGCTACTATAACAGCAGTGGGACAGCTCTGGGCAAACCACTGGAACTCATAAAAGCTTCACTGTTATTGCCGTTATTGTTGTCATGCCTGTCCACAGGAGGGGGAACTGAGGCTAGGAGCCGCAGGGTCTCCCAGCGGGGCCTGGGCCTGTTCTCTCCTAGCGTCCCCAGCCCACACCTGGCCCCGAGCCCCAGCCAGCGTGATGCCAGCGTGGCCCGGCTGGACATTCGCCTGATGCAACTTCAGTGCCACCGCCAGGCCCTTGCACAACACGGGGCACCCGGTTGGCCAGTTAACGATTGACCTGAGGTTAAGGGGGGTGTTAAGGCATAAAAGGCAGCAGCACTGTTGCTGTGGCCACACCCCCAGCCCCCCAGTCATGCCCATGCTCATGCTGTGTCTGCTGTGCGCCCTGGCGATGGTGGCCCAGCCTGCCCCGGTGGCCCCCATGAGCGGCTCGGAGCCGGCGCAGCAGGAAGAGCTGACCCTGCTCTTTCACGGGGCCCTGCAGCTGAGCCAGGCTCTCAACGGTGTGTACAGGGCCACCGAGGCACAGCTGACAGAGGCCGGGCGCAGCCTGAGCCTCTATGGCCAGGCGCTGGGGCTCCTGGGGCAGGAGGTCAGCCAGGGCCAGGATGCAGCCCAGGAGCTACGTGCGAGCCTACTGGAGATGCAGGTAGACGCTGCAGTTGGGGTGTTGTGGGGTGGATAGGAGTCTATGGGAGAGTTATGCCTAGGGTGACCAACTGTCAGGTTTTCCCAGGACTGAGGGGGGTCCTGGAATACAGGATTTCCAGTGTTAAAATCAGGCCAGTCCCAGTAGGTCATCCTACTAACATCCGCTATCTATTGATCAGATGGCAGAGGATGGTCTCAAGCTGCAGGCAGAAGCCACAGCCCAGGCGCTGGAGGAAGTGGCCCAAGGACAGCAGGTGCTGCGGAAGAAAATGAAGCGGATGGAAGTCCAGCTGAGAGGCGCTTGGCTGGGCCATGCCCGCCAAGAATTTGAGGCCTTAAAGGTAAGGGGTTCCCAGCCCTGGGGGAGTCAAGACCCTGATTCACAACCAGACCTCATTTCTGAACCTTTTGTCCCAGAGACCCCCCAAAGGTCAGCCTTCCAGCACCCTGGCCTCTACTGTGTGTGTCTCTGGGCAAAACCCATGTCCCTTCCCATGCCTCAGTTTCCCTATTTGCAAATAAGGGCAACAACTGATTTCTCAAAGCAGAGCCAGGGACTCAGTGCAGATAAAAGCCTCAGCAGGGGGTGGCACATGGGAGTTACTCAATAAATGCATACTATTTAGAGAATTTCTTGAGTGCCCATGATGTATCCAGGCACTGTTTTATGCCCTCTAAAAATCCATGCTCATAACAACCCCACAAAGGGACTCCTGTTTCATCCCCATTTTACAGGTGGGGAAGTTGAGGCCAAGGAATGGCAGTGACTTGCCGGGTCACACAGATGCAGTGGGGAGCAGGGGGATCTGGGTGGGGTCGAGGGACAGGAGGTGAGGAGGCCCCCAGCTGAGGTTTCTGTCCTGACCCCACAGGCCCATGCAGACAAGCAGAGCCACATCGTGTGGGCCCTCATGGGCCACATGCAGCGACAGAAGCAGGAGATGACGGCACAGCAGCAGCGGCTGAGAGATATTCAGGAGAGGTGTGCCTGGTGGGGGGTTGGGCGTGCCAGGCAGCGGGATGGGGAGCCCTGCTCCTTGGCTGAACCTCACCTCCCTCCCAGACTCCACACGGCGGCGCTCCCAGCCTGAGACCTGTCTGGGTGGAACTGAGGACCAGTCACGCACCGGGGGATGCTGCCATGCCCCACGCGGCCCCTGCACAGGGAGGAGCTGCCTGTCTGCTGAGGTCGGCCAGGGCGCTGGGCCCCATTTCCGGCCATGGAGCAGAGACGAAAGCAGGCAGGGACGCAGGCAGAGGACACGGACCGTCGAGGAGGGGTGGAGGAAGGACACGCCCCTTCATTCCTATCCATCCCCCATTAAAGCAGAGCAGTGGCATCTCAGGCCAGTGTCTGTGAGTGTCGGGGAAAGGGCATCTCCCTTTGCACGATGCCTGAATGCCCCTATTCAAGTGCCCGGCTGCCCCAGAGGCTGTACCTGTAGCTGGTGTGGGGGGCGTAGACCTCACGGGCGGGGAACTCCAGAATCTCCTTGGTGGGCCGACCCCTGGGGTCTGGGTAGGGCTTGACATGAAGCAGCTCCGGGGAGAGGCAGAAGTGGGGGTTCTCAGGGGCTGGGGAGATGTCAATCTTGAGCTGGGCTGGGGAGGGGGTAGTCAGTTTGCACGTGCCTGGGAGCCTCGAGCCGGGCCCTACCTCTCTGGGCTTCGGATCAGGGCTCTGACTCTCCCACAACACCCTCTGGTGGCTCTATCCTTCAGGTGCTAAGGCTGAAAGATGGCCTCAACTCCCATGTCTTGCCCTCATATTTGATCAGCTCTGCCCACCACATTCCCCGTGTGACCCACTATCTATCTGTCTTATTTATTCTTTTTTTTTTTTTTTGGCCGCACCCCGCGGCATGCGGGATCTTCCCCAACCAGGGATCGAACCCGTGCCCCCTGTAGTGGAAGCGTGGATTCTTAGCCACTGGACCACCACAGGGAAGTCCTATCTTATTCTGTTTCTCATCTCTGGGCCCCATTAGAACGTCCACCCGTGAACTCGGGGCTTTGCCTATCATGGTCCCCAGGGCCTGGCACAGTACGTGCTCAGTGTGGGTTTGCTGAGTGACTGTATGAGTAACACGTCTCGTCTAGGGCGCGCACCACACACCGGTCACGGGCCGCAGGCGCCGCAGCAGGGATGTCGGGCGCCGCATGTCAGCCAGGAACTTGAAGAGGTCCTCATCACTGAGCCGTTCAGCTTCCTGCAGGGACCCGCCCTGGTGAACCAGGGCTGAGGGGCTTGGGGTCCCCGGGGCCCGGGCAGCCACAGGGGGTAGCCCTTAGCCCCCTGCCCCCCGAGCCACGGCACCTGCTTAAAGAAGTTGGTGACAGTTAGCGTGGCTGGGCGGAAGCCGGAGAAGCTGCAGGCGTCGTCCCCGCTACTCGTCCGGTCCTGGGGCCCCCGACGGCGGCGGTCAGTCCAAGTGGGTCGGCGCTCTAGGGGAGACAGTGACAGTGATGGAGAGGGACAGAAATGAGAGAGAGGCAGGGAGGGGCAGAGACGGTGCGGACTCAGGTCTGGTATACCAAGTCCAGCCAGCAGAGGGCGCCCCTCCCCTTCCCCGGTAGCTCCGCCCCTGGCCCGTCGGCCCCGCCTCCTCACCGCCCTCCGAGTCCGAGTCCCGGTCCGACTGGCCCGCGCTGCTCACAATGTTGGCCAGGTGCACCGCCGTCCAGGCAAAGGGCATGCGGTAGCGGCCCAGACGGGTGCAGAACTGCTCAGCCGCCAGGCGCAGCTTCTCTAGCTTCTCTTTGTTCTGTGGGGAGACGCCGGAAACACACCCCACAATCTCAGTGCCCCAGGCCCTCTGAATCCAGGATCTGCCCTGCCTGGGGACCCCTTCACTACCTGGCCCAGCTTCCCACGCTTACCTTGGCTGTGTCCACCTCCTTCATCACCATGTAGGGCTCGCAGCACTCGCTGATGTCCCCCTGCTGCAGCACCTTCTCCAGCTGAGGGGCAGACAAGGCCAGTGGGGCACTGCTGGGACTGCAACCTCCCCAAGCCACACCCAACTTCCCTGACCCTCACAGCCTCCCACACATTCCGTTCCATCCAGCTAGGGCTCTCGGTTCCAACACCAACCATGGCTCCCACTGTCCTTGGCATTGAGTGCTAGCTCTCAGCCTGGGCAACCAGCTACACCCTCCCCACCTTTTAAACCCGGCCCCGAACCCAAGACTCCATTTTTTTCCCCACATTTACATCTTTCTTTGTTAGTATAAACAGAGTCCACATCAAGCATGGCTCTGAGCCTGGACTCCAATCCTGACCACTGAGGGGCTATGGGACCTTGAGCACATTCCTTACCAGTGCTGTGCCTCAGTTTCCCCAACTGTAAAATGGGCCCCATGTCATCTCCCACCTCCCGGGGCTGCTGTGAGGACCAAAGACCAGAATCCCTGTGAAGCCTAACCGACTGGGAGCAGTGCCTGCCTTAAGGTGTTCAATTAATGTCATTAGCGTAACCTAACTGAATGTTTTGGGGAAGGAAATTTGAACTCACTCCCAGAAAAAGAAAATCCCAAACGAATGTGCCAACTAGGTCTTTCTTCCTCTAATAAACTGAAAAACTCTCAACTAAAAAAAATTTTAAACACCCACCCACATGTGCCGGGATGCCATTTCTCCCCAGGCTGCCCACTCATGGGTGTCGGCTGAGCTGTAACCTCTCCAAGGAAGCTTCCTCTGGGCTCTCACCCAGCTGCCTGTACTTCCCCCATGACAGCCCTGATCCCCCTTCTTAGTGACATGTCTGTCTTCTTTCATGAGAGTGGGGACCTCGCCTGCAGCCTTCACCATTATCACCCCCTTGCCAGCCCCAGTGGGTACCTTGATGACCAAGAAGATGTCGGGCGAGGGATAGGTCACGGAGAAGATGGCAGAGCGGGCCAGGGTGGAGATGGCAGGATGGGTGCCATGGGCCCGCAGTAGCCCCTTCATGGAGTCTGAGTTCAGGTCAAAGTAGAAGTTCTCCGAGATCTGGGGGCACAAGAGGCAGCTGGGCCACCACTTCCAGGAAGCCCACTACCCTGCAGCGAGGAGGGGGACTGTGAGGAAAGGGAAGAAAGGGGTTCCTACCTTCTTCTTCTCCCGCACGTCGTACAGGGCCAAGATGCCAAAGATGGGCTCGATTTCTATCTCGAACCTGCAGTAAACGGGGGTTCTCTGGCAGAGGATGACCTTGACACTCCCTCCTCCATACACCCCACTCCCTCTTGAGGTCCAGCCCAGCCTTGGTGCTTTGTGGGGGCGGGGGGCATCTGTTTCCCACTGGGTCACAGAGAAGCACCATTCAAGGGCTTGTAGGAAAGACCTGTCCCATTTTGCCAAAGGGGAAACCAAGGCACCGAGAGATTCCCTCCCCCACCTCCCCCGCCCGCCTTCCTCCCTCAGTAAGTAACTCACACAGAGTCCCTCCTGCTGAAACCACGGCCCTTGTGCGGTTGGCATGGAGGCAGCTTTTGGCACATCAATCCCCCCCCACACCCGAGTCCCATCTTGAAATTCTCGACTCCTGGGCCTCCCTGCCTCCCCTCCCTGAGGTGTCCTCTACGGCTTCTGCCATCCTGGGCTGAGTCCCATCTTCGATCGCCGAAACAGCCCCCATAACCGCCTCCCTGTCTTACTCTGCCCTGCTCATTTCTACTCATCATCCACGTGCCTCCTAAGGAAACATCTTAAAACTTAAAATTTGGGACTACCCTGGTGGTACAGTGGTTAAGAATCCGCCTTCCAATGCAGGGGACGTGGGTTCGATCCCTGGTCGGGGAACTAAGATCCCACATGCCGCGGGGCAACTAAGCCCACGCGCCGCAACTACTGAGCCCGCACCACCATTAGAGAGCCTGCGTGCCACAACTTTGAACCTGTGAGCCACAACTAAGAACCCGTGTGCCACAACGAAAGATCCTGCATGCCGCAACGAAGATCCTGCATGCTGCAAAGAAGATCCCACATGCTGCAACTAAGACCTGATGCAGCCAAATAAATAAATAAATATTTTTTAAAAAAAGAAGGTTGTAAGAATAAAAAAAACCAAAACTTAAAATTTGAGGCTCCTCACTGCCCTGCGTGGCCCTGTCCCGCCCACTTCTTGGCCTCAATTTTCCTCTCTCCAGACATCTACTGGCCTCTGTGCTGTATCCCCCACCTAGAGAGCCCTGTGTGGTCATCCCACAGTTACACGGCCTTGCATACAGTAGACGCTTAATGAGTGTTTGTTGAATGACTGGATGAGCTCAGAGAGCCAGTTCCCAGCCCGCGTGCTTGAGGCAGGAGGCCCACCCGGGCCTCAGGCCAGATGGGACCTCCCTTTCCTGCCCCCATCCAGGCAGGAACTGAGAGTTGGGGAGGGGCAGGGCCGGGCTCAGGTCCAAGGCCACATCCTGTTTAGCTCCATTCCCACGAACGCTGGCTGCTCCCAGGGGGCGATGTGGAGGGGGCCTTGGGCAGCTGGAAGCCAGGCCCAGGGTCACCAGCGCCCCCTCTAGCCTGGGTCCTAGCAGCAGCCTGGGCGAGGGCCAGACTCTGGCCTCACAACTCGTGATCTTGGGCACAATGACCTTTCCACCCTGTGCCTTGGTTTCCCACCTGCACCCACATCGCATGTTGTGGTGAAGGTCAGTGTTAATACACATGGAGGGCTGAGAACTGAGCCTGACACACAACTGGAGCTTAGGATTGGCGGTTTTGAATAATGCAAAAGGGAGTCTTATTTTCCAGCCTGAGAGCCCACAGGTGTCCTCATAGGTCTCAGGGCTGCACACGGTAATGGCATAGCTCGAGTAGTGAGCGCCGAGTGTGTGCCACACCATAAGCCACATGGTCCCCTCCCATGTCTGAAGGGAGGGACGGGTCAGCACACTCACTTAAGCGACAGACACTTGACCAGGATCCTCTGTCCGAAGTGCTCTCGGGGTGGCTCCGGGCGGCTGCAGCGTTCCACGGCCTCATCCTGCCAAGAGCCGAAGGGGCAGCTGGGAACACATCCTCCAGGAAGGGCTTGGAATGTGTGGCCTGAGACCAGCTCTACCCGCAGGCTGACTAAACTTCTTTCAGTCCCCTGCCTCTGAGCCTTTGCACATGCCGTTCCCGCTACCTGGAATGCCCTTCTTCTCCCTTCCTCCTTGCCTGGCCGATACATGCTCATCGTCAGGTCGCACCTTAGCTGGAACTTCCTCCAGGAAGCCTTCCCTCACTCAGAGCCACTTGATGTTCCAGATGCTCAACAGGCCCTGCTGCAATGGGCCACATGGCTGGGACATTGTGGGCCATGTGAGAGACAATGACACACATCTCATCATGGTACTATTCTGGGTTGTCATTTCCTGGTATCTCTCCTCCCCTAGGCTGTGAACTCGGAGAGCAAAGACTGGCTCTATCTTGTTCGTGGCTGTATCCCCAGTGCCTGCTATATAACTGGCACTCAAACATCTTGGTTGGATAAACACAGAGGTATGTAGTAGGTACCTACTAAAAAGTGGTTGAATAGACATATACAGAAAGTATTTGATTAATGCTGACTGGACATATATAGAGATGTGTACTAGACACCCAATAAGTACTAGTTGAATAAAATATTGGGGTATACAGCAAGCATTCAATAAATGGCTGAATTAAAACAGATGTATATACTAGGTGCCTAATAAAAGTTAGTTGGATAAATATAGGTACACATGGTAGGTGCTCAATAAACATTAGTTGCTCAAATGCACTTTAATTAAATAGAAGACTATACAGTAGGCATACAGTTAACATTGACTGAATAAATATGAATATACGGTAAATGCCCAATAAATGCTGGGTGGATAAATATAAGGGTATGTATAATAAATAAAGGTCATTGAATAAAAATATAGAGTACACAGTAGGTGCCCAGTAAGTGCTGAATGGATAAATATAGGGGTATATATAATAAGTCATCAAATAAAAAATAGGGTACACAGTAGGTACCAAATAAATATTGGTTGATTATATGCTGTTTGATTAAAGAAAAGACTACACAGTAGGCTTACAGTAAATATTGGTTGAGTAAATATAGCAGTATATAGTAGGTGCCCAATAAATGCTGGGTGGAAAAATATAGGGGTATATAGTAGGCACCCAATAGAAGCCATTGAATTAAAGTATACAATGCAGGGTATACAGTAGGCACCCAGGAAATCTTGCTGGGATCATATACTGTGATACATGTCAGTTGGATGTGTATTGACTTCAGGGCCTGTGCAGGCTAGTGGGCACCCACCTCGTCGGGCGCCGGGTAGAGGGTGAGCAGGGCACGGGACCGGTGCTGCCGCCGCAGGGCCTCATTGCGCCGGTCCACATCCTCCGGGGCCACGCGCTCCAGCAGTGAGGGCAGCAATGAGTCGGCTGCCAAGTTCCTCAGGTCGAAGATGCCAGAGGCACCACTGCTTCGTGGGGTGTCGTCTGGGGAGCCTGAGGAGTGCCGGGGGTCATCCTGCCAGCAGTAGAGAATGGGCAAGCGCTGAGTGCCAGCTGAATGCATCTCCATCCTACTCAGGTGAGACTGTCCTCATGCCCAACCTATAGATGGGGAAACTGAGGGCCAGGGGCTGGGGTCACCACTACAAGGGTCACCTGAGGGCTCTGCTGACTCTCTTTCTAGAACCTTCTGTCTGGGGAAGCCCCCTCCTTTACTATTGTGGGGAGGTTACATCCCAGTCTGGGTATCACATGACCCTTGTCTGGCCAGTCAGAACAAAACAGGTACCAACCCCAGGGATTGGCTCCAAGGTCAGGATATGCCTGGGTTGGGCCAATGAGAGCCTTCCCTGGGACTCTGCTCACTGTTGCCAGGGGAGGGAGAGTTCTCACTGGGGCTGTCAATGGCCCAGGACCCTGCCTGACCTCCCAGACTCAGCTATGGTCAGAAGCAGACTACCTTGGTTCAAATCCCAGCTCAGCTCTGTGATCCTGGGTCTCTGATCCCAACCCTAAGGGCCTCAGTTTCCCCATCTACATTTATAAATAGTAACAAGGAAACAATAATTCTTGACATGATTATTACTGGTAAAAATAGACACTCAATAAATATTGGCTGACAAAATACAGGCTCAAGACTCAACCAGGGATTGAACCCAGGCCATAGCAGTGAAAGCTCCGAATCCTAACCACTAGACCACCAGGGAACTTCTGTCTTTATCTGTAAAATGGGTGTTGCCCGATCTCACAGGATGAAAGATAAGGACAAGTATAAAACATTTAGTACACACTAAGCCCTTAATAAATGCTTATAATTGTTACCCTTAACTTTTCACTTACAGGGCTGATACATTTCCTTTTGGGTTCAAGGCTGTTTGGGTTATTTCCCATCATATGCGTTTGAGAGCTGGGGCCGCAGCCCATGCATGTACATATGCTTATAGTGACCCCTGCCCAGGGCTTCCTCACCGAGTCGTCCGGGCTGGACCTCTCATCCCCAGAAGCGTCCTGCTCGAAGACCTGGCGGGTGAGGCCCTTCTGCCTCTCTCGCTGCGTCTCTAGGGTGATGGGGCTGTATGCTGCACTCAGGTGCTGGTACCTAGGAGGAGGTGGGGCTTGGTGGGTATCAGGAATGAGGGCTCCCCAGGGCTCCCGGATGTGCTGACACACCTCCAACGTCCAGATGATGCCTGCAAGGCCATCCACCCTCCCAGTGCTCTGCCGGAGAAGTCTGGCTACCCTTAAAGGGACGGTGGGTGGATAAACAGGAGGACCGGCAGCACACAATGGGCTCTTCTGGGCTCAGACCTGGCCTCTCTACCCTGAGCTGCCCCCGAGCCAGACCCACCTCCTGTGGGCGATTATCCAGTCCTCTGTGTACATCTCCAAGGCAGCCCTCACCTGGGCATCCAGCTTTCTGCACAAAATACAATCAGGGTAATAAACAGAGGCAGGGCCCAGTGTTAATCTTTCCAGTGGCCTGTGAGGTGGGGCCTGTCCTTCTGCCTGTTTCAGAGATACAGAGGTAGAGGCTCAGAGAGGGCAGAGGACTTGCCCAAGGTCACACAGTGGAGCCAAGAGTTGAAAGAGGGTATTCACGGGGGGCACAGAGGTAGGTGGAGTTACAGACAGGGAGGGTGTGGGGCTGAACCCACCCATCCTCGGGGATCCCAGGCTCCGTGGTGCGGCATTCCCGGGGCTGCAGCAGCAGCTCCAGGTCATCAGCTGGAAACTCGACCAGGTCCCGGAGCGGCCCAGGCTCTGCATCTGGCGGCCGGCTCAGGAGCACATCCTCAAAGTCCAGCGGCTCAATGACTTCAGTCAGTGGGACCTGAGTTGGAGCAAAGTGGCTGTGACCCGTGCCCCGGGGGGCTGGAGGGTGAGTGTGGACTTGGGCTGGCCTTGAACAAACAAGAGGGCGGTGGGAGCCATGGAGGGTGTTGGAGCTGGAGGGGCCCTGGAGGACAGTGACCTCAGCCACTCCACCCCCACCCCAGCTGGCCGGCCCTGACCCTCTTTCCAGGCAGGAAATCACACCCTGTGCCTGGAGGGGCAGGAAACTCATGGTGGAAGGAAAGGTTTGTGGACTGCAGCAAAGAAAGAGACAACTCCTCAGGCCCTGGGGCGAGAGAGCCCCACCCCTCCCCACTGCAGCCAGAAGCACCTCCCATCCCCCAGACCGCCCTCCCCACCCTCCCCAGCTGGGTGGTCCAGGCAGCAGGAGTTGCGGGCCACAGCAGGCTGAACTTCTCCCCCACGACCCCGACCACCCACAGGGCTGCTCCCTGCAGAGAGGGGGGTCCACCACCCTCCCACTCACGCTCACTGGGGACAGGAATGGGGACAGTGCTGGGCCAGGACAGGGACCCCCTTCCCTGCCACAGCTGGGTCCCTCCCAGCCTCAGGGTCCCCACAGCAGCGGCGGGGGGGGGGGGGGCTCCCAAACACTCACCCCCAGGGAGCTGCTGCAGCGCCTGCTGGAGTGGGGAGAGCCACTGCGTTCCCGGGACACCTGCTTCCGCACCTCGGCAGCCACCGTCCTGTGGGGACAGGAAGGGGGTAGTTGGGGGCAGGAGAACTTGGGCAGCGGGGCCCTGGGAACCGGGGCTTCAGAGCCGACAAATTCATTCCATGAGAGGAAAATCCAGGCTATGGAAAGAAAAAAAATCAGGCCCCGGGCCAAGAGAACCCAGGCTTCAGGAGCCACAGATCTCAGCGTGTGGGCCCCAAGGCTGTGGCGCATACGTCGTCCCCTTTCCTCCTGCAAGCACAGCTAGAGGGCTGCTGCTGGGCAGGGCCTGAGGGCCACTGATTCCTGCGCGTCCTTCTTCCCCCTGGCCCCCGGGCTCTGAGTCCTGACCCACCAGACTGGCTTCCAGGTCTGGAGAGAGGCCTCTACTTCCTCATCTGGAGGACCTCTGCCTCTCATCAGGAACCGTTCCACCCTTGCCGGATAAGTCACTTCTGCCTCTGAACCTCAGTTTATCCATCTGTAGCTGCCCTGCTCTCACAGACCAGTGGAGCTGAGCAGGGGGCCTGGCATTCAGTGGGCATGCCACACACCCACCTTCTCAGGGAGTCTGAGACTGAAGCTGACTGTGTAAGAGGCCAGCATGACTCTCAGAGAGCACAACCCAGCCACCAAGGTCGGTGCCGTGGCCTTCATGGGCCGCCTGCATCTACGCTGACCTTCAGAGTCCCAGAGGATGAGGGTGAAGGGGCAAGACCCACAGCGGAGGGGGCCAGCACGGGAATTTCGAACAAACCCTACAGGGGCAGGGATTCCCCAAGCTCTCAATTCCCTCAGCTGAGCTTGGAAGGAGAGGGAGTCATGCAGTTATCTGGGGGAAGAGTGTGCCAGGCAGAGGGAACAGCGAGTGCAAAGCCTCTGAGGCTGGGCTCTGTTCTCTGGGCCTGGAAATCCCTGCTCCCTGCGGTCTCTGTGAAAACAGGACTAGGGCTGTGTTGTCCCTGTGGAGGCCCCAGCACTGGATCCCACACATAGTAGATGCTCAATAAATTTTTTTTTTTTTTGGCTGCGCCACATGGCTTGTGGAATTTAATTAATTAATTAATTAATTTTTTTGCGGTACGCGGGCCTCCCACTGCCGCGGCCTCTCCCGCTGCGGAGCACAGGCTCCGGGCGCGCAGGCCCAGCGGCCATGGCTCACGAGCCCAGCCGCTCCGCGGCATGCGGGACCTTCCCGGACCGGGGCACGAACCCGCGCCCCCTGCATCGGCAGGGGGACTCCCAACCACTGCACCACCGGGGAAGCCCGGCTTGTGGAATTTTAGTTCCTCGACCAGGGATCACACTCCAGCCTACGGCAGTGAAAGCACCAGGACCTAACCACTGGACTGCCAGGGAATTCCCATCAATACATGTTTTTTTTTTTTTTTGCGGTACGTGGGCCTCTCACTGTTGTGGCCTCTTCCGTTGCGGAGCACAGGCTCCGGACGTGCAGGCCCAGCGGCCCATGGGCCCAGCCGCTCCGCGGCATGTGGGATCTTCCCGGACCAGGGCACGAACCCGTGTCCCCTGCATCGGCAGGCGGACTCTCAACCGCTGCGCCACCAGGGAATAAATGTTTTTTTGATGGAATGAGTGAATCCCTTCCAATCTCCCTCTTGGTCCAACTTGCGTAAATCTACTGTCAGTTGGGGGAAGCCCCTTATCTTTTAGCTGTGTGGCTTTGGACAGGTGGAACAACCTTTCTGGGCCTCAGTTTCTCTTAAAATCAGGAAGGCAAGGCAACGGCTGAGAGGTTCAGGCCTCAATCGCTCCTGCTTCCCTCTTTTCTCTTATGCTTGGAAATTTTCTTAATAAAAAGTTGTACCCCTGGGACTTCCCTGGTGGTGCGGTGGCTAAGACACCGTGCTCCCAACGCAGGGGGCCCGGGTTCGATCCCTGGTCAGGGAACTAGATCCCACATGCTGCAACTAAAGACCCCACATGCTGCAACTAAGATCCAGAGCAACCAAAGAAATAAACATTTTTAAAAAATAAAATAAAAATAAAAAGTTGTGCCCCATAAAGCTCTATGTTGAGGATTGCAGATGTGGCCCACAAGCGTCCAATGCAATGGATGTGTGAGGTGGGCCCAGGAAAGACAGGTGTGGAGTGGGGATAATTAGGAGCTTCAGCCCTGCCTGTGAGCCTCCGAACTCAAATCCGTGTGGGTCAAACAAAACTTGGCCACGACCCTGATCCAATGTGGGGCCTCCAATTTGAGACCCCAGCCTCATTCCTTCTCTGTCCCTGGATTCTATTTCTTTTCTCTGTCAACTGTCTCAGAGTCTTGCTTCTGTTGGACGGGAGGTGCGGGGAAGCGGGGAAGGGAAGAGAAGCTTGTAGGAAATTCAAAGAATGTTAAAAATGAGGGATTTGTGGAACTCCCTGGCGGTCCAGTGGTTAGGACTCCGTGCTTTCACTGCTGAGGGCCCAGCTTCAGTCCCTGGTTGGGGAAATAAGATCCTGCAAGCCAGGCGATGCTTGGGGGGGAGAAAAAATTAGGGATTTGTCCTCAAATTCCCCAAGTCCAGGCCACTTCCTCTGGAAGCATGGGCACACAGAGGAGGATTGGGGGTGATTTACGAAAGATGCTGTATCAGGGAACCTGTCTGTGCCCTGGTCCCAGCTGTTCTGCAGCTGCTGCCCCAGAACAGGGAGGGGGGTGGGGAGGGCTGAGCCTCCAGCTTCATTTTGCCACGGGCCTTAGAGTGAGGCCCCCAGAGTGGGAGAAGGCTGGGTCCACAACGGTGTGGCCACGGGAGCCAGTTTACTGAGTCACAGAGCTCTGCACTTGGAGCTGAGCGAGCAGGGGTGAATGACATCTTTTCTCTGGACCTCTGGGCTCGGGACAGTACCCACGACTTATTGAGCTGTTCTGAGTGTAGGGCCTGGCACATAGTAAGTGCTCAATTAAAGCTAGCTGTCACCACGTTGCCTCACAGAGCATCCTGGGAAACTGGAATTTCTGACCCTGCTTTGTATACCAAAGGGGAGTGAGGCTCAGAGAGGGGTCGTGAGGCACCCAGGGTCACACAGCAGAATGCAGCGGTGCCCAGAATTGAACCCTGGTCAGCTGGAGGTCAAAGTCCTTTAGCGCTAGGCATTCCATGATGGGGAGCAGGGCCAAGAACAGGGGCTCCAGAACCTGCCCCTTCCCTGTCCACACTCACCCGCTCCCTACTCCGAAGAGCAGTCCCATCCAGTCTCGAGGCTTCAACACCATCTAAACACCAGCAGGTCCTCAAATCTGCCCCATGACCGTAACCTGCCCTCCCATCATCCTCTCTGTCTCACTAAGGGCAGCCCTACTCTCTTGGACGCTTGGGACCCACACCTGGGAGTCATCGTCAACCCCTCTCTCTTTCTCACTCCATCAGATCTGCTTCAGATGTTCCCGTGGACCACATTTCAAAAAGGGAGGCGAAATGCTGAGCTGAATTTAGTGGGTTTTCTCAGGAAGGGATCTCAGCATTCAATGAGGGAAACTGCAAAGATCAGGTGGTGGGTTTTAGCTCTTGGTGAGATATATCCTTCTAAGGTGAAAACTCCACAACCCTATGTGTTACTAAAGAGATGCTCAGAGGGGAAACATGAAGTAGTGGCATCACTGGGAATTCATGTGAGACTGTGTACCTCCCCTCCAGGGCCTCCGCTCCAGATTAACAGAGGACTACCCTCACAGGGGAGGAGGATGACAAAACCAGAAACAAGAATGGCTTAAGCCTTGATGCTGTGTTCCCACTTCTGTAAAGAGTGAGGGAAGAAAATGAGTAAATACAAAACCATGAAGAGATTCCTCCTCATATCCCACCCTACCCCTCCTGGACTGACAGAAAAATTTAAAGGCAAATAATATGAGTGCCAGCAAGGATGCGGAGCAATGGGAACCCTCATCTGCTGCTGGAGGAACCCCTCTGGAAAACCATCTGTAAATTTACAGGCAGAGTTGAAAATATGCCAATCCAGCAATTCCACTCTGAGGCGTAGATACTCAGGAGGAAATACATGGCCGAGAATGTTCATGGCAGCTCTGATCATGACAGCCTCAAAGGGAAACAACTCACAAGATCCTTGACCAAAGATGGAGAACACACAAGAAACAGGGGGAATAGTATGCAGCAATGAAAAAGGATGAGCCAGACTACAGGCGGCAGCACAGATGCTGCCGACATTACGCTGCCACATAGGACTTGACATCCTGTGTGGTTCCGTTTATGAGATGTTCTAAACAGACAAAGCCAACCCACTGCAGATAGGAAGCCAACTTGGATGGAGAAACCATAATGTAAGTGAGGAAGAAACAGTAGCTACCACGAGCATGGCCGTTCCCTGAGGAGCAGAATCAAGTGCAGATCACCTTGAGAGGGGCCTGCTGGAGTGGGGAGGCTTGGGAAGGTAGAGACGGCCCGTCCTTTTTTTTTTTTTTTTTGGCGGCATCACACAGCATGCAGGATCTTAGTTCCCCGACCAGGGATTGAACCTGTGCCCCATGCAGTGGAAGCACGGAGTCCTAACCACTGGACAGCCAGGGAATTCCCAAGACAGCCCGTCTTGATCCGAGTGACTTTTCCCCTGGCACTTATTTCATGATTACTCCTTACTTAAACTTAGCATTTTTCTGTATACATGTCATCTGTTACAATTTTTTTAAAGGTAAAAAATAATCACCTACGCCTAAGCTCACGTCTGCAAATATATTTGGGGACAGGAGTGGGAGGAAAATACTTCCTGGAAATCCCACAGGTACTTTTGGAATTTCGTCAATGTATGTCTTGTTGTGCTCCCACCCCTCCAACAAAGCATTTCTTTAAATGAGGACGGCAAACTGCCCCACATCAGACAACTGAGGGGCAAAATAATGACACTGCTCTCAGAAGCCTGGGAAGAATGAATGGACATCCTTGCGGACAGGAGAGGGCAGGAAGAGGCACGGTTTCCAAGACTGTTCTCAACTCTCAAGCCACACACTCTTGGGCTACTTCCCCCCCGAGAGACCCTTGAGAGTGACCTAACCACTTTGGGTTTTGGTTTCAATAGTTATACCGATGTCAACGGGCTCTGGTGACAATTAATGACATCTCAGATAGGGACCAGCATGCGATAAGCACATTAGAAGGGCTGGTCATGGGAATTCCGTGGCGGTCCAGTGGTGAGGACTCCAGGCTTCCACTGCAGGGGTCATGGGTTTGATCCCTGGTCGGGGAACTAAGATCCCACAAGCCAAGCCACACAGCCAAAAAAAAAAAAAAAAAGTGTGGTCGTTATCACCATTCCAGATTGGACTTTATTTTAAAGAGTACAAGTCAAAAAAAAAAAAAAAGAACATTATGTTGCATACAATACTATTTGTGCGTGTTGTGTACGTTCATAAGAGTTTGTTGTTGTTCCTTCTGGCCATGCCTCACGGCTTGCAGGATCTCAGTTCCCTGACCAGGGATCGAACCCGGGCCCCTGCAGTGAAAGCACCGAGTCCTAACCACTGGACCACCAGGGAATTCCCGAGTTTGTATTTTTAAGTTGTCCCCCCAAATCTTTGTTTTAAATGGACCTGTTCATTAGGAAACTGGGGGACTGTCTAATATTCAGATTAATATGGCATTTGTGGAATGAACAAGCAGATGAATATAGGCCTAGGTCTGAGCATGTAGATACCTGGGTGCCCACCAGTCTGCTGAGGAGACCTTGTCAGAGGGTGGCTGGAAGACTGGAGCCATTTGCTTGTGGTTCACTGGGGCCCCAGGATCTTTCTCTGCTTTTCTTACCCTGAACTCTATAGAGCAACCATTCCCCAGGGCAAAACCCAGGGCCTCTCTTTCTCACTTGAGTGGACGCCAGGACCCAAGGACATAGGGACCGAGAGGCAAAAAAACAGACAGCAATAACCTCCCCAAGCTCAGAAACACCAAAGGTCCGAGAGAGGAACGATTCAGAGACACGGAGATAGCAGAACATAAAAATTGCCCAACCACTATGCCCCAGACACCAGGTCACAACGTCCCTCCTCTGTTCCGAACTCTTCATGGCCCCCACCTCACTCAGGGTAAAAGTTAAACTCCTCCCCACAAGCCACAAGCCCTGTACAACCTGCTCCCACTGCCCCCCTCCTCACTCTGCTCCAGCCTGACTGGCTTTCCTCAGATGCTCTGTGAACATCTGCTCCTGCCCCTGGGCCTTTGCACTTGCCCTTCCCTGTGTTTGGACTGCTCTTCCCCCATGTCTGGGCATGGACCCCTCCCTCACCTCCATCAGATCTTTGTTTAAATGCCACCTTCTCCTCCAGGCCTTCCTGACCCGCCTCCCAGATCTAAAATAGTCCTCACATTCCCCATCTCCCTTCTCTGCCTTGTATATCCTGATACGACTTACCACTAACATATAATCTACTTTATCCTGCTTCTCCTCTGCCTCCCCCACTGTATCTGCCCCCAAGGGTGGGATCTTTTCTTGTGTCTCCTTCAGGGCAGGGCTGACTCTTTCACCTGGGGGTGATCAGGGGAGGTCCCTGCCCGCCTCCCGCCCCACCCCACCCCACCCCTGCCCCGCTGTGAGAGAAACACCCCCCACCCCAGCAGATTCTGAACCCACTATTGGAGGCAAAGACCCGAATGGGTGAAAGGCTCTTCAGCCCCAGAGAGTATGACATCCCCCTCCCTGGCCAATCTCTTACAATCACCAGTGGCCACGGAAATGGATCCCCCAGCGCCTGGCGCCTGTCCCCTCCCCCCGTCTGCCCACCAGCTGGTTCCGTCCCCCGCCCCCACTCCTTCCATTCAATCACCATCCATCTCCAGAGCGTCCAGCCGGTGCTGGGAGAGCCTGAAGCAGGGCTGGGGGCGGGGGACATTCACAGCTGTCCCCTGCCCCCCAGACAGCTGGGCACGGGACCCTCGCGGGGAGAAGATCACGGGAAACTTCCCGAGGGGGTTCAAAGGCCGCCAGGAGCACCAATCCTGTTCCCAAATCTCGGCGCCTGATGCGTCCCTGCCCCACACCAGGCCCAGAGGATGGGACGGAAAAAGCCCCCCAACTCCCACGCTTGAGGAGCTAGGGGGCCGGGGGAGGGGCCAGGAGATGGGTAGGACGCGCGGAGGGCGCCGGGCAGCGCTTTCCCCGCGCCGCCTCCTCCAGGAAGGCCCCCCGGGCACGCCCCCACGCGTCCCACCGGTTCCAAGGGAAGACCTCAGCCACCACCGCGCCCGCAGCCCCTCCGCGACCCCCAGCCCGGAACCCCCCCGCCCTCCCCACCTCCCCACGCCTGCGCCCCCGGCCGGAGGAAGCGGGCCGGAGCTGGCCAAGGCGGAAGGAGCTTGAATGGGGGGCGCCCAGAAGAGGGAGGGCCGGGCCGCCCCGGGGCGGGGCTCCGACACGTGGGGGCGGCCCGGGAGGGGGCCCGGCGGCCGCACTACCTGTTGATCTTGTGCGCGAAGGCGCGGCGCTCGGCTACCGCCATGGCGCTCCGCGCGTCCAGCCGCCAGCCCCGCCGCTGCAACCCCGCGCACCGTCCCCACCGTGGCCGCCGCCACCGCCGCCTCCCGGTTCTGGGCAGCCCGGGCTGGGCGGGGCCGGGGGCGGGGCCCTTCCGGGTGTCCCGGGCCGCTCCGTGCTGCCCCTGCTGGCCGGAGGGGGCGCGGGTCCCCCGGCCGCCTTTGCGGCCCTCGAGGCTGGCCTGGGGAAACTGAGGGGGGGCAGGGGAGGAGAGGATACGGGACTGAGGCTGGGGGCCTCGGACTTCCTCCCGGGGGCTGCTCTTTCTGCCCTCTGGCTAGCAATCACTATAATCACCATAATAATTATAATCTCGAGCGTTTGTTAAGCACGGCCCTGCAGTTCTGATATGTGGGAGGACCTATCCTTTCCGCCATTTTACAGATGAGTAAACTGAGGCACAGGGATGTTCAGGCGCTTACCTAGGGGTCTCCATGGGATGTGCCCCAGTCTGGGGTGAGGGCAGAGGAGTCCAGTTGGGCTCCAAGGCGCTAGGAGATGTGACACAGGACCCGGTGGCGGGACCTGAGTGAGCCAGTCTGGGAGGCTGGACCGGCCCAGCCGCCTCCAGTGCAGGGAGGATGTGCGGATGTCTTGGCCAGTATGTGGTCTAAAATCTCTCCCCAAAAGTTCCTCTACCAGCCGCAAGGCAGCAGTCTTAGTGGATTCTCTAGCCCCCACTCAGCACCTGCATATGCCAATTTCTCGCTCACCTCCCAGGCTTTGCATGCCCAGGTGCCTCCTCCTGATGGCCCTTCTAGACCTGGTTAGAAAAGGGCCTAGGAACTGGGGGCTGAAGAATGCTAGGGCTCAGCTCTACCTCAGGGCCTTTGCATGTGCTGTTCCCATTCCTGTGTATGGGTGCTGTCATTATTCCCCCCTTTTACAGATGAGGAAACAGAGGCCCAGGACTTCCCTGGTGGTCCAGTGGTTACAACTTCGCCTTCCAATGCAGGGGGTGAGGGTTCGATCCCTGGTCGGGGAGCTAAGATCCCACATGCCTCAGCCAAAAAACCAAAACATAAAACAGAAACAATATTGTAACAAATTTGGACCTCCCTTGTGGTACAGTGGTTAAGAATCCGCCTGCCAGACACGGCGGGGCCCTGGTCCGGGAAACTCCCACACTCCACGGACTAACTAAGACAGTGGGCCACAACTATTGAGGCTGTGCTCTAGAGCCCGCGAGCCACAACTCCTGAGCCCGCGTGCCACAACTACTGAAGCCTACGCTCCTAGAACCCGTGCTCCGCAACAAGAGAAGCCACCGCAATGAGAAGCCCATGCACCGCAATGAAGAGTTGCCCCTGCTCAGCACAACTAGAGAAAGCCTGTGCACAGCAACGAAGACCCAACACGGCCAACAATAAAAATAAATAAGTAAAATTTTTAAAATATGTATTGTAACAAATTCAATAAAGACTTTAAAAATGGTCCACACCAAAAAAGATCTTTAAAAAAAAAGAAAGAAAGAAAACTGAGGCCCAGAGAAGCAGAGTGACTTGCCCCAGTTGCCCAGTGGATCAGTGTCAGATCCTGAGCCCACAGGAGGGAGGCCTGGACTGTGGGGCCCCAGGCTCCTGAGGGCACAGGAGGGTGGCTCCCAGCCTGGCATGTGACATGCGCACACGTGTGTCAGCAGCCCACGCACCTTCCCAAGTGGTCCAGCCACTTTGGCCTGGGAGATGCCAGGTGTAACCCTGCTCATCACGCCCTGGTGTGCCCCACCCCGGGTCACCCTTGCTGCAACCTGCAGCCTCCCAGGCTAAAGTCCTTGCCTCGCCTTTCAGTCTGCTGGTAGCTGCTGGGCAGGAAACGTGAAGATGAGCAAAGACTGGCGGGTTTCTCCACTCCTCTTTGCCTATTTCCAGTCCAGCCCCCATCATACCTGGTCTCCCAGCTCCCGCCTTCACCCCTCACAGTTTGTTTTCCCCTCGATGGTCAGAAGGAGC